TTTATGGTTGGAAAACGCATGGGCGGCTGGAATCGATCACGACTTTGCAAATTCAAGATATAAGCAACAGGTTGTCAGGTTTTTTTGCCTTTTTTGTGATTGATTTTTCTGCCATGTTTTACCGGTGTTTCTCGCCACCATAATTTATGCTTTTGATTTTTCCTTATGTGTTTATTTTACTTTGATGGTACTAATTTGGCAGTAGACTATTACAGTTTAGGAGAATAAATGTCCCTACAGGTATCCCGTCGACGGCTTTTTACTCCCACAATTAAAGGTAAATTGTGGGTTCTTGCGCCTACGAGGTAAACAACTTAGCCGAAGCTCTACAATTTACGACCGCTATACTACGAAAGAGAATTAAATCACCAAGACGTAGAGTGTAATCATAAGACTAGTTCCAATCACTTTTACATACCTACACTTGCAGCTTCTCTGATACTGAGATTGCTCGGAACATTTGGTAAAACTCAATAGCAGACTCTTTTAGAGATAAGAGAAAACCCTACGTTTTTATAATGTGATACCTAATAGCTAACATATTTAGATAATACTATAAATGCGGCTATTTTTTAAGGAAGCACAGGAGAAAGAAGTTCAAAGATGAACATTTCCAAAGTCTTAGGACTGTTAATTGGGACCTACCTCATCCAAGGGCTTTTAGGTAAGTATTCCAGGCGTATTCTTATCCACCAAAGGAAAATAGTCTCTCATTCTAAATGCAAAGAAGATCCTCGCATTTTATGAGGCAACTTATGTAGCTGCGAAAAGAAAGCCCGAAAAATTTCAGGGATTCTGCGATACTGGTGCAAGCGCGGTAACCAATTAAGCTAGCAAGTCAACTGGGAGCTGGTCATCTCTCGACCAATCAGATTTTTCATAGTGAGTCTGATGTATAATAATAAGAATTAAGGGCTTAATGGCTGCAATAGACTACAAACAAACTGTTTTTATCACATGGTTGCTTTTTAGGTCTTCCAGTTGACAGGGAACTTTTTCGTGTTAAAAGAAAACGAGAAACAGAACGTGAAATTGATGAGGATTTTGTTCATAAAGTTCGAAGATCACAGGATGAAAGAGAAACTGAGATGAGACACAAACGACGTTTTTTCGCCCCAGAGACAACGGAACACAAAACAAAAGTTTTCACAACAAAAATGGAAGCAAGATCTTCTCGTTCTTCCCGTGAGGATAATGACATCACAGCGAGGCGGCCCGAGAGGTTTCGAATTCGCAAGAGAAGCCCGGATGAAGATGAAAGCTCCTCGGTTACTGGGGAAACTTCCGGTGCCGCCGAACAACCAGGACAAAAATACACCACATCCGGATCTGGATTATGGAGATATATTACAAATAAACATGCGCCACTAATAAAGCCGTTTAAACAAACCGAAAAACGAAGTATGAGCACAAATTCACTAGGAAGTCTCTTATCTGCTCTCAAAGCGATCAGCTCTCTTACTCCAGATGAACAGGACACTTCCGGTCAGGAAGTTGGCTCTTCGGGTTCTGGGTTGTGGCCTTCACAGGAAAAGGAAGTAGATGATGATAAGTTGCCGAAGTTTTTTGAGGAAGAGAAGAGTTCAGGAAGTGGAGACAACCCCGAAGAAGCTCTGAGTATGATAAACGAAGCGGCAGAAAGGGAACTGAACAGTAAGGTGGAGGATTCAAGCATCGAGGACATGCAACATGAAACTGGCGAGAAACTATTCCGAAGAGAACTACAAAGAGATTCGCTAGAAGATGATTTAATGGCAGCTGTTGAGAACATGAAGTTAATTCATGATTCTGACCAAGATGAGGGATCTAGTGGATCCTTAGGGTCTACAATGCACGCTGATGAGGACGAAGGTACTGGGAAAGGAGAAGAAAGTGAAATATCGGGCCAAACGGAAGAAGACCATTTTGGAGGAAGACCGGCCGTTGAAACTAGACCGGAAGTGACGTCTCAATCGCAAGCCAAGTCTGTAAGGTCAATAACTGATGTGATATTCCCGGATTCATTTTATCGCAAGAAGAGATCCTCTGAAGAAAACTCTTTTCTAGTTTCCGAGAATAACCCAGGAGATAATGACGCATTAAAAAGCGACAGTCTTGTGGCGCGGTTTTACCGCGACCAGGACGCACACGCGGACGAACCGGAAACCATTGATCTTTCTGCGGCATCCCTTTCTAGCGAGACCAAAAAACAAGCCAAACAAGTAAAGCGAGAAACCTACTACCAACATTCAGGAGACTATTCGGAGCCACGCGTGGTGTATACGCGTGAGATAAGGAATGCTCCAGAGGCCATCATAGAGCGACCGGCGATTTACTCGCATAACTACGATGAACGTGAAATGGATTCGAGCTTTGGTGGCGATGATGACGATGACGAGGCGACTTTAACGATTCATGAAAGAGAGATCAGAGAAGATGGTAGGTGAATTAAAACATTTCTTAATGATTCTACTGTTACTCAACTCCTAAGTCAAGAGAAACAAGTATAAACGCAACAGAATTTTTTTTATAAGGCAAGGTTGGCACCAGGTTTTAAAAATCAGTATTTCTGCATGTTATGTTAGTTTTGTTTGAATGTTTATATATCCCTAAAACCTACATTGTACATGTACCTTTAAGGCGGAAGTGCAGTTTCAAAATTCCTCAAAAAAGCAGAGTTAATATAGCCTAACACTATTAGAACAACTAAGCTTCACTGGATAACCAAGGTTTATCAGTCTCTTTCCTGGTGTACTAGCCTCACGGCTTTTTGCGGACCAGTTTGCTGCCTTCCATAGCCAATACTGTACAGACAATGGCTTGCCATTACAGCTAAACGCTTTCATTTTCCTCTCAATTAGGATATGTTGGTTGCTTTGAAGATAAGTCTCCAGACCGAGACCTTCCCACTGTGCTCTCAGTTCCCCACCTTACCCCTGACTCGTGCCGCAGCGCGTGTCAAGGCGCTGGTCACGCTTATGCCGGAGTGCAGTATGGATATTTGTGTCGGTGTGGTAATTCTTATGGAAAGTATACCAAGGTCCCGGATGATGAATGTAATGCTTTGTGTTCGGGAGACAAGGCACAAAAATGCGGTGGATTTTGGAGAAGTGCTATTTTCACCACTGGTAGGTCATACAATCCTTTTAGACATTTAATTAGCTATACTAGCAATAACCTGAGGTTAGGAAGTGCGGCCGACAACGATCAAAGGTTAAAACGCTTTTTCTCCAAGGCTGTGCTTTGCGTATGTTTCACGTGATAGAAGGTCAAACCACGAGTGATCAGATTACGAGTGAGGGAAGGTCCAAAACCGCGCGTGAACAGATTGCATTCTTTAAATTCCAATCAATCTTAGTCGAAGTCGAAACGAAGCTGCAATATGGCTACATACGTGCTGTGCAAGCGTAATTGCAAACTGTAGACTAGTAATAACCAAAGGTTAGGGAGTGCGGGCAACAACGATCGAGGGTGCAAACGCTTTTACTTTATCGATGTGCTTTGCGCAAGTTTCACCTGACAGATGGTCAAAACATGCGTGATCAGATTACGACTAGTGGAAGGTCGAGACGCTAGTGACCAAATTGCGTTCTGTGAATTCCATTCATTCTTAGTGGAAGTCCAAACGAATGCTGGCTACATACATGCGACGCATGCGTAATAACAACCTAGAGATTAGGATTGCGGGCCCCTCTAGTCGCTCGCAATTAGGATTGCGGGCTCCCCTTGTCGTCCGCTAAAACAATGTAAGATGTATCGGCTCCCGACTAACTACACCTTCCCAAAAATATCTCATTTTTGTCTCCATCTTTTGTTTCTTAAACAGCCGGTGCAATGCAACCTTCAAAGCGGGGAAACTTCTTCCATATTGACAGCGTTGAGCCTATAACCGAAGGTACAGAAATTTCTATTACTCTTTCCCTCGTCTAGCAAACCTTTACCATAAAATTGTCATACTTACACTAGATTGTCTACATGACGTAATAAACACGTTGGTACTGACAGGCAATTTATGAACACAAGCAAAAAAGCCGCTTCCTTTGAGAACATTACTTCTGCAATCACTAACAAAGGCGACTCAGAAAACAAAAAAAAACAAGCAAACAAAGAAACAACAACAACAACAACAACAAAATCCGAGTTCATCCAACAGGATTCACAACTATGACCCTGTGGTTTACGAATGCAGATCGTTCTTCTATGACAAGGCGCGACGATAGCGCCGGCGTAAACTGGCTTCAGATCATTCATACAGGGCAGCAAAGAAAAATGGCGTTTTTGCACTCTAATTTGTGAAGAAAACATGAAAAGAATAGTTGTTAGACACAAAAGTTACGAATGTTTGGGCCTTATGTTGTATACGATCGTTTCCAACCTGTTATTATGCATCTGGTGACGGTATCATCATTTTCACAGCGAATCCATTTTTGGTTCGAGACTTTCATTCCCTGCAGGTACTGCACACAAAATAAGGTATGGCGAAAACGTAGTGTTCCGAGTGCCGGATTGCAACAAACATTTATTCCCCTGGATTTATTTCCTCTTTATTGTTCAGATATCTTCGAAACGCCACGCAGTGAGATCTCCTCAGGTGACGATCATTCCGGGGAGACATCCATAACAGTGAAAGCCTCCGACGAACCAGCGCGCAATGAGGCAACTAGCCAATCAGAATCATCCGGAGCTTCTACGCTGGAAATACACCGTGACACGTCCTTTCAGGAGTCCCCGTTGACTTCAGTCTCTGGGATAAGCGTGGAAGAAGCCCCGATGCCATTACATCCTGAGCAGTATGCCCTGAAGGACGACACAGTAGCACAGGTGCTATCTGCTGAAATTACCAAAGACGACGAGACGGCTGCTAAGCGTGCAGACACTGGCACTATTCATCAACAAGTAATTGGGCACTTAGACTCGACCAATAAGGAGACACCAGAGGAGCACGATAACCAGCCCAAACAAACGCCTCAGGGTACCCATGGGAGTCAGTTCATGTATTTGCATCAGCAACGACACATCGCGTCCACACCAACTTCAAAAGGCCATATCGCAGTACAGCCTTCAAAAGTGGACGCTGGTAGTAAGTCTCCAAAGACATGTATATATCACGTTTTTGGATAAATTTCTGTCTTTTCGATCTGATTTCAAACCCTTGTGGCCTTTTGCTGAAATCAATATCACGAGAAGCAGAGCGAACGAAACTTATAATTGTGATGAAGAAATGCTAAAGGACTAAAAAATCCTTACTATTCGGGCTAGAATCGGTATTTTTTGGACCACTTTCAGTCATTTGGATTAATAAGAGATAAAAATTATTGAACTTTGCATAGCTCACCAATAGTGCTTGGAAATTTGTCAATAAGATTGACTTCAGAGTATAATGATAAGCGAATCACAGTAAATCTTGACATTTTTGCGGCCAATGTCGTCTCATGTAATCTGAATCTTATTTTCTTCTTGTTATTTTTCTGGTTTAGCTGTAATGTATACAGGAACGATTAAACTGAAACAGAGCTGGCTGGATCAGTTTGAGGACGCAAATAGCGCGGACTCCAAAATTTTGTCAGGAAATATTGTGCAAGCGGTAAGTGTTTATTAACCCATGCAACGGGATTATTACCTGTAAGACAGAACACAGGAATCCGGGAGGTTTTTGCTCATGGAATTCGAGAAATTTTGAATCAGAGGACTGTTTTCCTTTTGGAAACCGGAATCCTGAGTTTTGGAATCCGGAATACAACTCAAGAAATACGGATCCCACTAACGAATGGAATCCAGAATCCAAGCTCCGCGGACAAAGATTCCGGTACCCATTACCTGGAATCCGGAATCCATGGCGTGGAATCCAGAATCCAAGACTGTCCTAAAATTCCTTACATGGAACGAGGAGATGCAACCTCTTGTCATCCCCACGTAAGGAAAGGAAGGGGGGAAGGTGGGAAATTACGCAACAATGCTTCGCATAATTATATCGAAAATATTTCGCAATAGAAAAAAAGGGTTAAAGGGAGGAAACAAAGAAATTCCACACCGATGGAGTGTCACTAGCAGATCTGGGTAGTGGTTCCGATTGGTCGAACCGATAGGGAAATTTGCTTCAACTAATCAGAAGCACAACCCAGATCTGGAAAGTGGCGTCATCAGTATGGAATTTCTGCGATCGTTCCTCAGACGTTAATTCGCGGGGAAACCAGTGATCGTCTAGCGAAATGTGCACTCTCTTCTTAGGCTAGTCACCCATTTAAAACGGACATTATCTATGGTCCACTCGTGGTTCGACTGTACGCGGCGTATGTCTTACTACTGACACACACTGCTGCTTTGACTAAAAATCAAAGCAAGGTCCGAGCTTGATTGTGCCTTTCCACCCCTTTTTCTCGAACTTCCAACTTTACTAACTATATTATTGTATCTGCAATGTTGTTTTAAATTAAATTTGTTCTTATTTCGCAGTTTAAACGAATATTCAAAAACGAGCCGAAGTTTGTTAACGCTGAAGTTGTGGGGCTCAGGTAACAACCATTAAGAAGTATTTACTTATTTTGATCAAGATGGTGATGATGACGAAGGTGATGACGATGATGTTGATGACTTTTAAGGCTCCAACTAAAAAGCTTTATTTAAATCTTACAAAAAAAATACTAGCAATTCTCTTTGGCGAGGGATGGTAGGCTTGATTTCCTTCCCATGGCTTTCAATGGTGACATTTTACAGGCATAAGTAACTCTGTCTTAGCAGTCACTCACAATAGCCTCCCCATTCCCCCCCTCCCCCCCCCTTCCATCCTGGAAAGGAACGACAACTACTCTAAGTAAATTACATAAGTATCACTGTTTTCTTTTCTAAGAGAGGGACTGGTGAAACATAATCCCAACACGATACGAAAAGTGATCGCTCCTTTCGTCTTGACATTTAAACATGGCGCCAAGGGTGTAGAGGAGAAATTAAAAAGTATGGTAAAGAAGACGGAAAGACTTGATGACATGCCTGTTTACAAGAGTTCGCTTCAGATATCAGGTAAGTGAAGGATGAGCGTCATTCATATAAAACACAGTTTGAATTTCTGGAGTTTCTTTTCTCGGGTAGAGAAGTATTAAAAATTTTGACTAACAGGTTTAACATCTGTTCAATAATAAAGCGTTTTTTGGCCGGCGTTTATGTTACGTTTCTTGCACTGAACAGGAGTGAGTGGTTAGATAAGAACTCCCACAGGACTGAATTTGAACATCATGCTCGCCTCATGGAGAAAAAAAATAAGAAAAAAAAATACTTGATGTTTAATAGATTTTCTTTCTCGGCGGATATCCTGCATTCGACGTTGTGTCCATTGTGCCATTTTATGTCGACCACAGATAAAAGTGAGAAGAAACGAATGAAAAAAAAAAAAAAAATCTTGAAGAAGAGTGGGTCTAAAGAAATCTAAATCTAAGTCGCCTTACCCTTGGGATAGTATTGAACTTACGCGAAACAGGACGGGAAAGGAAGGAAGAGAGAAGAAAAAAAGCCTTTAGTGACAATAATTAAGTTAATTTGAGGAAATTTTCCGCCAGTCTTTACCTTAAAAGGCATTTTTATGAAAAACCACAACACAGTAATGTTAAGGAAGATCGCGAAGAAGCACATGTAACTGCCCTATCACGTTTGTTACACACAACGGTATTGCCACCTCTTCTTCCTGCCTTCCTGTTGAGTAAGCTCACTAAAAATAGTGGGGTCGGTGCGAGGAGATTAGAGTGTGCATGAAAGTAGATCCTAAAGAGCCTTAGGAAGCAAAGCATAAGTCAAGTGTAAACGCAAACGCAACGAAAACCCGGGAAATGCTGGCAAAACATCGAAGACTTTTTCAGTGCTGTATGATCACCTGTGATTAAAAGACTGACTTAACGCATACGTCAGTTTAGATTGAAAATCCGTATTTGCTATGCAGAGTATAACCATTCAACGGCTCCACCAGGAAGAAAAGAAACTGCCCAAGACCCCGTCAACAATAAACGGAAAAACGAAGAAGAAAAGAGAGATGCAGTAAATATTCCAAGTATGTTTTGAACCACTAGCGTAATCAAAGTAATTTTTTTGTATTACTGCCCTATTTTACATGTAAACGGGTGCTGTAAATTAAAAGGGAATACCTAGCTAGAAAAGGGACTCGTTAAATGCAAATGAGCAATTCAGTAATGCATTGAATCAAACGTCACTTCAATTACGAGACTGCTCGCGATCAATTACACTTAAAAAGAGCGGGCGAACACCAGTGAGGGTGTGTTAAACTGGGGAACACAGGTGCATAAACAGCCTCAATGCGATTTAGAGATATATAGTAGGTAGTAAACAGTGCACGGCAAAAAAAGTGCGTGAGATAAAGCCTGCGAAAACAGTCATATATGTTCTCATTCGCTTTCAAATTTATACGAAGGTCAGAGAAATCAGGTCATATCCACCGTCTGAAAAATGATCACACAATAAATCATTAGAGCGAACATGCGTGCGATGGCTGCGTGCTGTTACATATCAACAAGCCAGGAAAAAAAAAATTAGTAATCTCATCGTCGGTCTAACTCACACCCTTGTTTTTTTTTTTTTTTTTTTTTTTTTTTCAGACGGTGGCGTTGATCCTTTTCTTAAGAAGATCTTTAATCAGATTTCTACCTAAGCACCTAAGATATTTACTTTTAACGACATATTTCAGGTAAGAAAGTCAACATTAACGAAGATATAAAAGAAAAACAGCAACAGACTAAACAACAACAGCAACAAAAAGCACAGAGAAGCTTCTTTTTCAAAGTGACGTGAAGACGCAATTTCCTTCGTCGCGATTAAACAGCGTTTTGAGAAACCGTAAACGAAACTTCTAAACAAGAAAACTCTGTTAATGATATATAAATTTGAAACCGCCAGCCATTGGTATACATTCTCACCTCTCTACATGCTCTAGCGTGAAAGTAAATTTGGCAAATTTTATTTACCGGTATTTTTTTTAAACCACTTCTTGCTGTCGAAGTACCAAGCTTCCATACTCTTACGTTGTAATCACTAAACTTCGTGTGATCTTTCGCTGATCATTTCATTTAACCTCAAGACCTTTCCGTTAAACTTAATGCTACATTTGTATTGAGAAAACAACAACAACAACAACAACAACAACAACAACAACAACAAAAACAAAACAAAACAAAAAAAAAAACAAGACACTACTGGTTAATGGGTGCCGAAACAACTTTCCTTTGTTCAGTGGATGTCCTTAAAATTGAATTACAACTACATGTATACACTTTGTTTTTATTCCAGAACGACCGTACACGATGCAGTTATTTCTCATGAAAGATTTGTTTGGAAAGAAGAAAAGAAGTACACAAGAGTTGAATGAGTAAAAACGACATCAAGTAAAAAATATATATATATATATAATTTAAGACCTTATTCACACTTTATAAATACAATAAGGATAACACATTTTAGAAAAGCAATTAAATAGTAATAATTGCAGTCATTTTAGACTCTTTTCTGAACTTTAGTGTCCACTTGCGGAAATAAATTTTATGTCATACTGTGACAAAAGTAAAACTCATTTCCTAATGTCAATCTAAATCAGCCACAGTTAACATTCCACTTCTCGCTAACTGTAAATAAAGGAAAAAAAATCAAAATGCTTTTGTTTTAATGTGCAGACTTCTTCTGTGTGTGTATCTGTAGCACATTCGGACCAATTTCAACCAATCCATCCCCCCCCCCCCCCCCCCCCCCCTCCCCTTGTCATGCAGTCATAGTTCTAGAGTGAACCGTTTTTAATAACTTCTTCAGGCATTTAGTCTGTTGTACACCAATAAATGTACCAGTAAAACTATGTACACAACATTCTAACGGAGGGAAAACAAATTAGTGTTAAAGGAGTGATTCGGTGGGATGCTGTTAGTCACGTGACAACAAGTGATTTTATCACCTTACCAATGTGGTTGAAACTCAGATCGACAGTTTAAGGAAAGAAGCTGAATCAATTCTATGAAGAGCCGAAAGGCATTTACTGAATGTCAGAATTTCACATTGCAGTTTTACCGTGCGATGTTTGGAAAAAGAACAACAGAAGACCAATTATAATTTTACAGCGCAAGTGTCGCCTGAGAAAGTTACCTTTTAATGTCCGTGTCTGACTGCATAAAAGGAAATTAACATTAAGTGGGCGTTTTTGCAACTGTTCCTTAAGTACTGATGCATTTTTTTTTCTTGCTGCTTTTATATTTCTAATACTCGCTAATCCGTCACCGGCCGAGATATCCTTATCGCCGTGCCAGAAGATCCGCAGCAAAAGGAATGGTACGCAGAAAATGTAAACTAAATCTCTGGATACTTTATGAGACCGGTTCCTGACCTCAGTTATCAACAAGTTGCATAACAGTAACCACTGAATAACACAACTGCTTTCTCATCTGGTAGACAGTGATTAATGCGGGGGTTTATCCTAGCTTTAAAGCTTTATAATACTAAGCTCATAGAAGAAGAAGCACCGTGAACATGATACTATGTTCTTGGATCCGTGAGAAAGCAAAGACACATCTGATCTTTCCCAAGAAGCATGAGAATGTTACCATCAGGGTGGAACTGCAATGAGGTGACGTGAAATGGTGCTGAAACAAGAGATGACAAAGAAAGCATAAAACAAGGGGAAAAAGTTGTAACACAGGTTTAATAATTATTTTAGTTGCGAACCGTGCTTTATATAAAGGCTGCTTCCGTGATGAACACAGCTTTCCTAGATGTGCATGGTGATTAAAAAAAAAACATTGAATGTGCATGGGAAATAAAAACAAACAAACAAACAAACAAAAACATCCTCTTTTAAACGATCAACATGACGTTGTCCTTTGTTGTTGTTGTGTTTCAGTATTTAAGTGGCAAACGCAGGTAATTTGATTAACGTTTGTAAGCCCGCTTTTGCGAGCTAAAAGTAGATCATGCAAATTCATAACAACACATTCCAACATCAATTGCACGTACGAGTGTTTCGCCTTCTTTAATCCTCTCCAACAGGCACTTAATATCACATCTGGGAAAGCTATGTTTAAAACGAAGAGGACATCACACAAAGTACAGTCTAAACACGATCAACAAGAGAAGATGATAACCTTGTGGTTGTACAGAACGAAACTTTTTATCGGAAAAGGGGTCATGAATTTCTCAAGTTCTGTTCGCCGAGAACTGTATCTTTATGTTACTAGTAGTAATCATAGATCAATAAGTACGTTCGAGTTTTCTTAGCTCCAGATTAGCTTTTGTGTCGTCAAGCTTGATTTCAAAATCATGGAAGAGATCATGAATTAAAAGGTAAACATTCTTTTCGTAAAAAATGTTCTTCGCGTATACGGCTTCAAAATATCTCACTCATTAACTCTCTACTCTTAAAATGTCTTACTCTCCCTCAAGCATGGTCGACAAAAATGTAAAGTAGATCGTAAAAAGTTCTTTGTTGTTAAAAAGATAAACATGTCACTACAAACTTCGAAAAAATGGTAGCCTTGAAGGTTAAAAGTCTTGGCTTCTTGCGTGACACAACTTGAAGTGAAAACAATGATCATAGGAGCGACGGAAACATATTAGGTTTCTGCTAGATTGCTGATGTCAGAGAACCGGACAGAATCTTTTGCCATTGTGCAAACTTTTCATCTCATGATTATTTTACGTTCATGTAGGTCAGTTCAACATGTTTTAAACTTAGCTTGCTTCAGCGAGCGAGATACTTATCATGCAAAATTACCCGCGTAGAGATATCAGACGTGAATAAAGCATTACAGTTGTAACAACCTGCACTGATACGCTCAAGCTTACTTTTTCGTGCATGAAAGAGGTTAAACTACAAATATGTAAATAGACTCAAACGCACGGGTAAACTTCTCACGGTACAAATGTTACCTGGTCTTTATTTGTGTGTTTCTACGAAGTTCCAGCTCGATTTGAACGGCATTGACCGAAAAGTTTAGCAGAATCATCAGCTCAGTGATAAAACCCGCTTAGAAAACAACTCCAAAGTTCATTCTTTTGCCGAACTCAAATATCCCCGTGTAATCATCTAGTTGACCTTGATGGAACCAGTGATGCACGTGATTGCCGTATGACAATTGCTTATGACGTAAATAAAGCTTGAACCTTCCGAACATCCAACAAACAGCGAAGCACGAGGCAGAATGCTTTGCGCAACGAAATTGTGACGTCATTCAAAAAGGGTGAACCATGGAACGAAAAAACACGGGTTAGCTTTCGCTTGCGTGCACAGGGAACCTACGCGATAACAGGCAACCCAGGAGATTAGGAAGCGTTCTTCCTTCGTCGAACGCAATAATAGGTACCTCTGCAAATGAAGGTCGTTTGAAAATACCTCAGCGTACTAGAGGGATGATTGCAAAGTAAATTAGCGTTTTGCGATGACCCTACCTTCGGTGGGTACGACCACTGACACACAGCCTGCGGGTGACCACATGTAAAGCTTGTTATTTGCTGTGCAAAGCGCCAGTCGGGGTTGTTTAGGATCCCACTGGAAAGCTACAAAACGAAAATAAAGTGAAATAGATGTCAAAACTAACCGTTTCCCTCGGGACCTGAAATAAAGTGAACATGAAGTTCGCGCCTAGCGCGGCAAACTGATCGTGAATTAATCTAGAATGGTTTGAGTTTAAGAAATCAAAGTGCTACGGGACAATGTCTAATTAAAGGCGTCATCGTTGCAACCAAGGAAAGACTTACCAGTGAATCACTGATCCTAACAACAACAACAATAACAATAATAATAATGTCTATTGAAGCCGAGTGCCGCAGCCACACCCTGCAAAAGACATCTGTTCTGGCCACCGCATATATCTTGCGAATTTTTTATCGGCTAAACTTGGAGGACTTGCAAACACGCATACGTACTGTGAAACTTGAACATAATAAATAAATAAATAAACTAAAATATATACGTAAAATATATACGGTTATACAAACCTCTAACTGAGTTTGACTGTAGTAAAATTGCAGTGAGACATAATTTAGGTAAATCCCACACCCAAAGAGCATTGGGCATGTTGTCTGAAAGAGAAATAAGACAACAGCTGCATGGTAGGAATGAAAGTGACCACTTCATAACTGCACGGCTATCTATCGGAGGGTAATGAATTAAAGTTAAGAGTTACTTACCATTTTTAGTGGCTAAAAATCTGTTATCATTGCTAAAAGCGACCTGTCCAACACCCAGTTTGGGGTTTGGTTTTTCTGCGTCAGGTTTCACTGAGGGGAGTTGGAATGGCACTGGCTGTACCTCATCTAGGAAAAAAATAATAAATAAATAAATCAACAACAACAGCAACAAATTACAATATCAATGTATTTTTTAACAGAACTATAAACCATACAATACTTAATGCCCCGCAAACAGCTATTACGCTAATCTAGGCAGGACAATAAAGGCAATATTAAATTTCATGAGAAAAAAGGAAAAGAAAATAAGTACAATAGCATACAGTATGAAACGCCTTACAGGGGCGGATCCAGGTTTTTTGTTAGGAGGGGGTGCACTCGTCTCTTGCTCTACTTCAACACCAATAAACCACATAGTTTTTTTGTTTTTTTTTTTGGCAGAATACCAGTTGCATTAGAAAACCGCAGGTCATCTCAGGGCGGGGGAGGGGGGTGCGCACCCCCTGCACCCTCCCCCTAGATCCGCCCCTGCCTTACATGAAATTCAAATAGAGGGATTTTGATATTTTGTTATAAAAGACAAACACTGACCGACTCGTGTAGGGTTGTGTAGCGTCAGTTAAGGGGTTTAAATGTAACCACCAACTATGGCTGTCGTTCCGACTGGCCAATCATATCGTGATTCAAGTGGTTGTCTGTACGTTAAAATGCTATGCTGTTGGCTGTGAACGTGAGTATTAAGTTCTTCGTTCTATTTCCGCTATGGTTATTTTTGTTGCTGGATTTTTGATAAACTTTTTTCGGGATTATCATCATTACCATCATCACCTTTATCGTCATCGTCGTCGTCGCCATCATCATCAGGGACCTTGAGCAAATACGACGACGACTACATTTTTTAGCGATGTTTTCACCGCCGTCGTCGCCGTCGTAGTTGCTTAAGGTCACTATCATCATCATCATCATCATTATCATCATCATCATCATCATCATCATCATCATCATCATCATCATCATCATCATATCACCTTCACCATCACCACCACCATCACCATCATAATTGTCATCATCATTATCATGACGGATTATATTCATCAATACTATTATTGTTATCATAAATTTGTTCACTCTAATGTTCCGAGTTATGCTTGGGTTGGCCAGTAAGTTAAGGATAATGCACGTAACTTGTAGTTAGAGGAGTAACTTGTAGTTACAGGATATATTATAGATGCAATGTCATGAAAACTGAATTATCTGAAGAACTTTACATTTACTCTGCACTGTAAATCCTCCAGGTGGCATCATTTCTCCTCTCAGGAGAGGTGGCTTCATTTCTACTTCCTTGTAGACAATCTAACGAAAATAAGATTGAAGTACACAAGTGTTAGCGGATCATTTTTTGCTTAGTTTTCTTTGACATCAGTCTGTTTACTTCGATTTCGTTACCCCCGCGTTACAGTTTCGCCTCAACCTGTATTTAAAAGTCTGAAATCTTACAAAGAAGCGACCACACCCAAGACATACGCAACATATATACCACATGACGTAGGCCTAATGACTGAGGCTCTGATTGGCCAATTCCTAAATGAATCTGCTTGACACAACTGAATGTGACAGGTAGTTTGTACTTACCACAGAGGGAGAATCCACAGTATGCGGATGGTGATGTTCTGCAACTATTTTCCAATTAACGTTGTTAAGAATACGACACTGAAATGAAAGAATCAAATGCTCCATTACACATAATACTCTGTGTTATATAGCTGGATTTTTTTTCCCAACAGTGTGCGTTCTCATTGGCTTAGTTACTTCGAGGTCACATGACATCTGACAATGAAAGTGTGTACCGCCAAAATCTCTGAGCGGTCAACATTGCAAGATGTATAACGTCAGAGCGATTTATTTTTATAAATTTGTACAGGAAAAAGTTTTTATTCGTGGGCTATATAACACATCACTTAAAGGCTGGTCTGGAGGGAAACAATTAATTTTGTTTCTCTCGAACCTCAATGTCTCTCTCGGCCCCGCCTCGGGAAACATTGAGATTCTCGGGAAACAAAATTAACTGTTTCCCTCCGGGCAAGTCATTGAGTTAGTGTTTAATATTTTGTTCTTAACTGGCAAGAATGTCGGTAAGGGCAGTAGTTACTGAATTCTGAATTCTGCCTTTCAAATAATAAGTAGCTATTAATCAGCAAAACGATCTCATCCGTCAAATTAGTTAACCAGGCCATCCTTGATTATTTTAATTCATAGACACGCACCTTCTCATCAAAACTGCCAATTGCTAAAAACTGACTTGAAGGTGACCAACAGACAGACTTGATTCCAAGTGCAAACTCATAAGCACTGTATCTTGATAAGCAACGCCCATCTAAGGAATACAGCAGCAGTTCGTACTAGAAAGAAAAACAAGATGGACCAATAAGCAGTATAGGAAGATAGCTATTTTCAAACAAACAAATAATTCCCTATTTAAATCGACCAACCACCGAAATAAACGATTCCTTTGCTAATAGGTTTTTCAGTTACATGTATCAATCGGCAAAGTCAACGTAATATCTTCCAGGTTGGGATTCTTGTAGGGTTACCTTTTTGTAGTAGGTCACAGTATTCTGTTGTTCGCTAGAGAGCAGGCTTTATGAAAACGCCTTGGTAACATTAGCCACGGGGTTAGAAGTGGAGATAGAAGGCAAATTCCTTTCCATGGACACGGTAAAAGCGTTAATAAAAAGCTCAGCAGAAAGAGAGACTTGCTCCATTTGTAGGCGTAATCTGCACAAATCAGTTTAAAATCGGTACAGGAAGTCATAATGTAGCCTTCAATTTTATTTATTTTCTAAAAAGAAAAAAAAATTGAAAATGTTCCACCAATCGCAATCTGATGTTTGGTACGCAATCCGAGAAAAGAGTCATTGCTTTGAAACTTTTGACCTTGCTGTTTAGATTCGAAATCGTTTTTAAATAATTATATCAAGCAAACAAAGCAGAAAGTAAGGGGTATAAAAAGAGCGAAGAATGTGCTTTTTTAAGACGCAAAATCTTCAGTTAAACGTTTTTGGGAAGATAGATACCGTAAAATTCCGAAAATAAGCCCCTCCATGTATAAGCCCCCCAAACCGGTAAAGCAAAAAACAATCCGTTAAATCGCCCCTCCAAATATAAGCCCCCCGGGGGCTTGAACTTGGAAAATTACCCTCAAATATATAGTAAAACAAAGCAAAAATGGTAGATTCATTCCCAGCTATAAGGCTAACCCAGTCGATTTTGAAACGCAAATTTCCCTCCGTAGATAAGCCCCTCCGAATGAAGGCCCTTCAAAAATAAGCCCCCCAAAAAAAGCCTTTGAAAAATATAAGCCCCCGGGCTTATTTTCGGAATTTTACGGTATAAAACTTTCACATCGAGCTATTTACACATGGATAAATGTCACGACAAAAAAACAGAACATAAATAAATAATTGCCGAATTTCCCTCTGTAATATAAACAGAGTGTTTTATTTGTGAATTTCAATTTCCTACTGTAAATTAGATCAAGCAAACAAAGCAGAAAGTAAGGGGAATAAAAGAGCAAAGACTTTGCTTTTTTAAGATCCAAAATATTTGGTCAATTTTTTTGGGGGGGGAAGGTAGATATGAAACTTTCGCATCCAGCTATCTACACATGGATAAATGTCACGACTAAATACAGAACATAAATAAATAATTGCCGAATAAGAGGAATTTTCTAAAATAAAATACATGAAAAAAAAAAGAAGAAAAAAAAAAAGAAAAAAAAGGACCATAGTGTGGAAAGGTGTCGACAACAAGAAGTCAGTCAGCCATCTCCTCAGTTGAGAATATTCTTAATCAAACTTCGCATTACAGGAAAAGTGTACCTCAAGGTTTTAGTTTGTAAACGAGAATGAGTAGCAGGGGGAAAAAACCCTCTGACAAAGGTCAGGAAGAAAGGAAAAACGAGGAAGGTATGGAAGACCAAACAGCTCAGAAAAAGAAGCGTGGAAATTCGTCGAAGGATAAAGCCGCAAGCAGTATTAAATCCGAACCCAATGTTCCTTCGAGTCTTAACGTAGTAGCGAAGATAAGGGAGACGAAACAATAAGTGAAGGAGAGTGGATGAAGGATCACCCTTGGGAAGACCGATCGCCGAATGACGTCGAAGAGTTAGAAATGGCTTCTCGTATTGGCAAGTCGACGGTGTACACCTTGACAGCAAAATGGTGTACAAAAGGCACGGTTGGTTTGGAGAAAATTTATTCCGATCTTATAAAGGAGATTAAAGGGCAATCATGGCGAGAAGACCTAGAATGTTTAATGAAACAGAACATGGGATTAACAGATAAAGAAAAGGATAGTCTTGATTCTAGTACTCCACACGTACTAGAAATAGTTCAAGGAGAAAGGAGTGAGACCAAAACACAAGGCTTCACCTGTTGACGAAGAACAAAAGCTAAAGGCCTTTTCTTCAAAGCATCCTAAAGAGCCAAATATAGCAAACTACTATCACCTTGACTGTGAATATAATATTAAACATGTATCTGCCTGGCTCGTTTATAGATTGGTTCAACATCGAACAAGGGAAGCGAATAAGATCTATTGAACCCCAAAAAGAAGACAAAAGATGGATTTTCGTGCCCTGCTTTTGCAGAGCAGAGATTGCCTTAATGAAGTGTCCAGGTGATGATGATCAGGATGAAGAGGAGGACGAGAACGAGGATGATGAAGGTTACAAATAACAATGATGATTTAGATGATGATGATGACGATGAGAACAACGACGATGAGGATGGCGATGACAATTGTGATCATGATGGCGAAATTATCACCGAGGACTCGACTATCAGGATAGTAGAAGTCAGGCCTTTTGAGTTCGAAAAGTACGTGAGGAATCATGGGCACAGGTTCCATGTTACCAGCCTCCCACAGGAGGAATTCGGAGCGGGTTATGCAAGATTTTGGATCCAGAAAATTGCATTACGTTTGAAGTTGCATTTCATTTCGATGACTGATGACAGCGTTGAATGCTTCTATGAATATAATCCTGAAAATAGACCAAAATCTTGTATTAAGCAAAACAGGCGCCGACCGTTTGAACTTGTCTTCGAGCGAATTGAAATGCTAGTAAAAGAGTCAAAACACCCCATTGCAGCAATGAGTCCAAAGCGATTCAGGCCATTTCGAGGGCCGTTGAAAAATCCGTTTCTTTGTTCACCTTCACGGATCGCCGTATCTTAACCTTAAGTTGCTCAAGAAAAAGGGCGTTTACTACCGACCAGAACTTCAAGTGTTTGAGGACATAATCTTTGGATATGAATGTGAACAAAACGGGCTAAACGTTTTCATGGACAATCGCATCCTCCTACAAGATCATAAATGGGGGAAAACTGGAGCAGGGAGTCTTTCAGTCAAACAAAAAATGCCAACAAAATTGACCAAAGCCATTGTTGGAGCAAAGAGTCAATACCTCTGCCAGACTTAAAATGACGCCAAGGACCAACGCTCACTCTGAATACACAATCCTAACCCTTGAGGAAATTAACTTGCTACGAAACGTGCAGCACATTATTAAAACACTCATCCTGTTAATGTGCAAACTCAACCAGTACTGGTCCATCAGAAAATACAAAGGTCAGTCAAACCGATCTTTGAAAAAAACGCAAGGAGCACATTATCTGGAGCTCTAGCTGATAATAACGTGTTGAGAATATTTAGCCCCCGTCAAAGTACTTTTGTGAACTGTAGATTATACATGTATGGATAATTATTTAGATTTGATATCGTTTCAATGCGTTTGGTGAACTACAGTAGTCAGTAAAAACCTACGAAAACGATGCTTGATCAAAAGATTGCTTTTAGATCCCACACTCTGAGATAACCATACTAAATGAAGCACTCTGCTTTGTCCAAATGAGGAAGAGTGAACTGGAGAGAAGGAATCTGTTCATGTAAAAACACTGCCAGGCCAATAATCAACACCGTTCACGGCTACAGATATTTGGAAAGACCTTCCAACTCCTTTGAAAAAAACTAAAGCGTCGATCTCTACATTTCCGAAGCAAATAGGCTCTACTGTCAGAGGAAAAAAAAAAATGGGGTAATTTTCTCTATGCTGATCACGCAGCATGTTACATGTACGTGTAAATAAATTGTAGGTTCGTCCTCCTCCTTTTTAAAATTAATTATTATTGTTTTTGTTTAGGAATGATGTACATGTAATTAAAATCCCTTAAACATTCTAAACGAAATTCTGTAAATATATTACTACAGTATTGACTATGCCTGCTCAAACTTACTCTCAGCAAGGACTCCCACAAACACAAAACTCTTCCGTCAGGTGACCAAGCTAAATCTGCAAGATCTTTTGTGTCCACTTCAAAGTGCTGAAAGACACATTAAAACGTACAATTTAATAGAAACACGACTTTTGGTGTCTCTCGTGCCTTACACTGAACTTGCCTTAAACAAGAACATAAAACATTAGACTATCAGACATCCTTAGCAACAGGGATGCAAACAGTCTGCAGACGTGAATGTCTAAAACTTTACACAGTGAGTTTTGAACATTTTTTTACATCATATTTTTGGTAAATAAGAGTAAAGGCCATAAAAAATGTGGTCAATTTGTTATTTTTAAAATGTCAAAAACTAATTTTGGAACTAGTAGATGAAATCCTTTGGTGTTACCATTCTAATATAACCTATAATGTATTACTATAATATATATTATTTTCATCTTACAAGAAGAAAAAAATTAAAATTGAAGTTTTCTGTAAAATTTTAATTTGGCTTTAAAGTACTGTTAGATACATGTAGTTAGGACTGAAAGAATAAAGTCTATCAGATAAATGTGAACATTCAAAATACCTTAATGCAGTTCTGCCGTACAACTACTGTACATAATTATAATGCATGTACCTTTACTAATTGCCAAGAGGAACAATGAAAAATGCTAATGTAATCTTTGCAGTTTCTTCTTTCCGCTAATGCCATGTATTTTCCATCTTTACTGAAATCGAGGCCTAGTAAGAAACAATATGGCATAAAAAAGACTAATAATATTGAAGAAGATTATTATGTAGTATAATTTATTGTCCTCGTCAAGTGTTTTGTAAAACCTGCCCAAACATTATAACTGACAAACCGATTTTTGTTTTGTGGCAGTGAGTGCACAGAATGGGTCCTTAAGTTCTTCTGATGAATTTCGCCAAAAGAATGGGAAATGTACATGTACTGATGATCCTTCTAAAACTAACTTCCTTACTTTAAAATCTTTGCGACGATGGGTGGGGGTATATGACAGAGAGAGATCAAAATTCACCTAATGCATTTTACCGAACTTTTCCATAAACAATAAATAAAATAGAGTTACTTCAAAACTAGCCTGCAATGCAGGCGTATTTTGGGCGGGCGAAAGCTGCTTGTTTGTGTTTGTATTGTTGTAGCCGCTACCTTTAATTTTATGACAGAGGAAGATTGGGGAGAGTAGAAATAGCAACCCTTAGGGTAGGTGCCCCTGACTCGCCCCATTTCCTCTTCTCTTTTGGAGTTTCAACATTGTGCTTTCGCGAGCAAAAACATTCGCGCGTACGAAGAAAACGCCTGCACTGCAGGCTACTCCAAAACTTAGTGAAGAACTTAGAACTTAAATGTACATACATTGGACAGTATTTACCTGCATTTGCATGTTTAGGATATTTGATGTAGCTGACAGACTTGCTTACAAGAGACCATACTGAGATACGTAACTGATTAAAAAAAAAAAAGATTATTAAAGGGCAAACTTCTCAAAATACACATTGAATTGTAATTAATAAATTGTGATGATTGTATAATAGCAGGAGCCCATCCTGATAATGTTATAATAGTTTCTTCAAGCATACTGTAAGACATTATCGTCAGTTCATAATATACAGTCACGATGCTGCTGGTCCAAAAAATAAACCTTGGTCAAGACTCTATATAGTGAAAAAAGACTCAAGAACCATGTACACAGAGTAAACCATATCCTGTTCATTAGGCACCAATTGACATACCCAGGTTTTTGCTAAATACGAGAGCCCCCCAGTGAGGGGGTGGGATAGGGTAGGGGGGTGAGTCTCTCCTCTCTCCCTCTCTTCCTTCTTATTTTTTCCCGTTCTCTGACTTAGCAGCACAATCCACTATCCGAACGCCTGGAACAGGCTATGTCTACTAGGGATATTGCTTTTATTTAACATTGATATACATTGTTTTTGTACAATGTAATGACGATTAAAAGTTTTTTCAAGGAACTATAAAGAGTAGAAAAGAACAAATAACTGAGGTGCGCTACACTACAAAAATAATTTGGGTGGTCCATTGGTCCCGTGTGAAAAATGGATTGGAGAAGGAATCAAAAAAATTTAAAATAATTCTTCATTACTATATATAAGAACAGCTGCTGACACATATAACTTCTTCAGATTAACTAGTATTTAAACTATTGGGGCAAGCTTTTTGTTAGGGTTCTAATGTAGGCGGAATGAAAGTAAATATACTTATTAACTTAGTTAACGAGGAGAAGCTAGCTGCTCAGTAGTTGGCTGGGCGTTAGCGTAGCGTTGGCGTTTGTTAGCGTTTTATTGGCGTGCTCTGGCGTTTTTGGCAAGGTTTGTGTTACTGTCCTAGGCCTGTGGTAAGACAATTTCCAATGCCCCCTTGGTCAGCAGTTAACTGTTGCAATTTATGCGTGCGCGTTTACACGTGCTCATAGTTTTACAGTGCTTAATGGGGCACCTGGGGCATCTGGGGCAACTGGGGCATCTGAATGTTCATGTCTGAAGTTTCGCTTGTGCTTGCCACCTCTCTCCACCTCATTGCCGTCGTCCTCAGCCCAACCACACCAGTGGCAGCTAACTGGGGAAACAAGGCCCGCCCCCCATACTGTATCTCAAGGAACAGAGGTCGGTGCCTATGGCCTTTTGGGGACTCCCGCTTCTGCCACATTTGCAGCTCCTGTGACGGAGACCATCCGAGGGTACGCTGCCCGTTTCTTTCTCCCAGCACCAATCGCTCTCGCTCCCAAGGAGCTCCAGCCGCCTACAGTGTTTCCTGTAAATAGCGTATGTACTGTTCCTGTTCGTCCTGACCACCCTTGTGGACTGCCTTGCTCAGCCGCTTCGTTTTGTTCTAGTTCTGTCGATTGTCATGACGTGTCCGTTGCTATCCGCTCGTTTTCACCTTTAGCACCTGTACATTTAGTGTGTCCGTTACAGTTTTCTCAGTTCCAAGCGGAGTTGGTTGATTACCCTGATAAGGCAGCAACGGCTTACAATATACCTTTTAGAAGGTCTCCATAACGGTATTCGTATTAGCTTGGAGGCCTTGCCAGTCTCATTGCAGTCAGCCTCATTCAACATGCGTTCTGCCTTCGATCACGCGTCCGTCATTGATGCCTACCTCGCGACTGAAGTCTTATGTGGTTGGGTTGCGGGCCCTTCAACCGCCGTTTACAGATTTGCACATCAGCCGTTTTGGGAAGGTTCCAAAAAGCAACCAGCCAAGAAAATGGCGCTTGATTCTGGACCTGGCGTCTCCAGATGGCCATAGTGTAAATGACGGCATTTCAAAGACTCCCTTTTCACTCTAGTACGTTATTGATGGCATCATGGCCCGAGGCCGAGGCACTGATGACGAAGTTTGATGCGGCGAGCGCCTATCGCAATGCTGCATCCTTTGGATCGCCAGCCTTTGGGAATGAATTGACGGGAAAAATACTACGTGGCCATGGCGCTCCTGTTTGGTCTTTAGTCGGCTCCATACATTTTTACTGCTATTGCGGACATGGTCAAGTGGATGCTGACCTGTCGCCACGGTGTTGATTGCTTTCGTCACTATTTAGATGATTTTCTCACCTTGGGTCCCCCAGCCTCGGTGTGTCACAACAATTTGCAGGCGTGTATTCAGCTGTGTTCCAAAGTTGGCCTCCCTGTCTACCCGGGCAAGCTTGAGGGCCCGTCTACTTGCTGGGCTCAGTCATGCTACAGGCCCGGCTTCCCGCTGAAAAGAGAAAGCGATTTACTCTGCTGAGTCCCTTATTGGTCACCTACACCATGCGTGCAAGTTCGCCCCCCAGGTTAGAACGTTCCCCCATCGCATGATTAACGTACTGTATGCTTTCCAACGTGATGACCATCCAATTCGTTTAAAGCAGGAATTCCGTCTGTACTTGACTTGGTGGTGCAATCTTTTGCAAAAGTGAGATGGGCTTAGTTTCTTCTTGATGTCAGAATAAGCTTTCTTCCTGATTTCCAAGTTTCATTTGATGCAGCAGGTACTCTGGGCTATGGTGCCATCTTCAGCAACCAGTAGTTTGGAGGTCTGTGGTCAGCATCACAGCAACCCCTGTTTATTGCGTACAAGGAACTGCTTCCCATTGTTGTGGCTGCGTACTTATGGGGTCCTAAATAGTCCTCGAGGCGGGTCGAGTTCTGGTATAACAATGAAATGGAGGTGGCTGTTTTGTCTTTTAGCACCTCTAGAGATTCTTCCTTTAATGGTTCCGATGCATTTCTTAGCATTGTTGGCAGTGCGCCATTCCTTTTCCTTTAAGGCCTCATCTGTTCATGCTAAAGCTAACCCAGTTACCGATACTCTATCCCGTTTCCAGTTTCAGCGTTTCCAGCACCTAGCCCTTCAAGCAGAGAATGCTGACCCCTCATCTCCGGATCTCCTCACAGTCCTACGCGACGCATGACAGATAAGTGCCATTTCTTCCTCACTCAGGGCCTTGCTCCGTCTACGCGTCAGGTGTACTTGTCCGTACAACGTCGCTACGTTGATTTCTGCCGTCAAGATGAACATCTTAGTCCTGATGGTGCCCTTCTCCCAGCCGATAAGCAGACTTTCATTCATTTTGCCACGTTGTTGGCGAATAGCCTTAATCATCTATGTTGGATAGGGAGACCTGAAAGAGGCGTGCTGAATCGAGGCATGCTCTTGCTCGGCCACAGTGGTAGTAGTAGTAACCTTAATCATTCATCCATCAACGTGTACCTTAGCGCGGTGCAGTCCCTTCACATTGACAGTGGGTTACCAGATCCTCTTATCAATTGTTTGCAGCTTCAGTGTCTCCTGAGGGGGATTAAGCGTGTGCAGGGTTCCTCATCCCTTACGCGCCTTCCCATCACTATTGATATCTTGCACGTTATTAAGCGCTCTCTAAATCTGCACTCCAGGGACCACGTTATGCTCTAGGCGGCAAGCTGCGTAGGTTTCTTTGGCTTTTTAAGTGCTGACAAATTTACTATCAATTCACCGTTTGTCCCGAGCATTCATCTGGGGCTTAGTGATGTGCAGGCCGATTCCTCTGGGGATCCTACCTGTTTCACAAAATTCACATCAAGCGTTCAAAGACGGATCCCTTTCATGTTGGCTGTGACATCTACATAGGTCGGGGCAATAACACTGTCTGCCCAGTGGAGACATTGGGCAACTTTCTGGCGGTGTGTGGCCCTTCCCCAGGGCTATTGTCTTGCTATACAGAGGGTCGTCCCTTGACACATCACCTGCTGTCTTCCTCAGTACAGTCTATTTTACATTTGCTAGGCCTTTCGGGTAGTTACTCTCGGCATAGCTTCCGCATCGGTGCTGCTAGAACAGCGGCATCCCGGGGACTTCCAGATCACCTGATTAAGACCTTGGGGTGATGGTTTAGTGATGCATATCAGTGCTATTTCCGTACATCAGCTGGCTCTCTCAATTGGCGTGGTATGTACAGTATGGTGTTTGCGGCCTTTTTTGCTACTGGGGTTGGGTGCCTCAGGTCTGCTCCCCTGGAGGCTGTGGCTTATTGGCCACAAGCCCCCATCACTCCGGGCTGGGTCAACCCAGAGGTCCTCTGGCAAGGTGGGTGGGGCTCGTGGCTGGGTTGCAGGTAGGGCAGGCTTTTGGGGTGTTCTTGCTACTTGGGTTAGGGGTAGGCAGCTCCAGCCCCCAGGTCCCTTGGCACCCAACCTCCATGTGCAACTCAGGCATTAAATACTGATGTAACCTTTGAAAGACCTATATAATCACTGCATTGTAACCTTACCTGAAAATCAGCCGTTGACAAGATGTGGCGACCATCTGGACTCCATCTCACAGCTGTCAGTCCAGCTAATCCCTCGTCTATCTTACATGTCCAATCAGGTTTCTCCAATGACCAAACCTAATGCATAATTACATTGTACAATCAGCATTACTGTTTTGTTGTTTCCTTTTTTTCTTCTGTTGTTATTATTGTTTAATAAGACAATAATAAATGAAAAACTGCACCTCTAAATTTACTAATAATGATCCTGCTCATTACTTTGTAAATTGACTTAAAGGGTACATTGTACATTCAATTGCCAAGCTGACTTTAATGGAGCCATACAGTGAAAGACAATTGAGGAAAACCAATTTCTTCATTATAAGCACTAATCGAAAGAACAACACAAACAAAAGTATCAGTAAGCCAGCTTCAGCACAACTTATTGGTACTTCAATATATAGCAGGTACTTAATTTCACAGTTTTTGTGACAGAGTATTTTAAGTGGCTTTATTATCACAATTTCAATAGGCAAATATCAAAGAGGGCATTAAACTTTGCAATTTAAACGTTCTCAACTTCTTTTTATTTTACAAAAAGTCCCTGAACTTTTAAATTTTTTTAGATAAACTGGAACAAAGAAAACACAAAAAAAATAACTTTTAAGATAAACTATTATTAAACTGTTATTTCACAAAAGATTAGACACAAAATTGAACTCATCATTAAAACCAGTTGATAATCTATGTACTTGTCGATACATGTCCTGTCTATGTTGTTGTATTAAAGTTGTCATTTTTGGGGAGTATTAAGTTTCACAAGGATTTATTTAATAACTGGTATTATATATTTACCTATTTTGTAACTATTTCACAATAGCCAGTGTAGCATGACAGTTTTGTCGGGCGCACTACTGAGTGGCGTCCAGCTTTTTTTGTACATCCAACCAAAACCGCCATGCTACACAGGCTAATTTATGATAGCAAAATATGCTTAGACGGGGCAGTAAAATTAAACACCAATAGGGTACATGTATGTACATGTAATTGGAAACATCTCAACAAACTTAAAACATGTCGATACCTGTATAATCCCTCTCTTGAACATTCCACAAAGGATGTATAAAGAATCAGAAGACCACTGCATGCCAGTTCAAATGTGGGATAAAACATAAAAAGAAAAATGAAGCAAGAAATAAATCTAATTCAACATTGCAAGGGTGTAATGCCAAAAGAGTACTAAAGTCACGTACACCGTGCTTGTGCACAGACTGATATTCATGATTATTACAGATTACATTAATTTTGGTATTATTCAATAGGTGGTGTAATGATACGTTCTTCATCTTAATACCTTGGACAAGGTCAGGAATAATATTCAAGTATGCATGAATGCATTAGAAAACTACATTTCAAGCCACAACACAACATATTTTATGAATGGTATGTCTTTAGTTCTTGTGAGCAAAAAAAAGGAGAATCAATTGACAACTACATCACTCCTTCGAAAGCTTGCGTTGTCTTGTGAATTTACGGATTTATGGATTACCGGACTGTGAAATAGCTAAGTTGTAAAGAGTATAGAACGCTGCAGCTAGGCTGCTTATGTCATGTAAAAAGTATGACCATATTATGCACATTTTGATAAATTTACACTGGTTACCAGTAAGATATAGAATTAATTTTAAAATTTTATTACTTACTTTCAAAGCCCTCTATGGCATGGCACCTGTAGTTACATTATTGATTTAATTCATACTAAGACTAATACGCGCTATTTGCTGCACTCTATTGAAGGTGTTTTATTAAAGCATCCGTCAGAGAAAATGAAAAAGTCATTTGGTGACAGATCCTTCAGTGTGGCTGCGCCCACTTTATGCAACGCTCTTCCTGTTAGCCTCCTCAGCATCAAAATGTATTTCTACTTTTAAATCTAATCTTAAAACTTATCTTTTTAAATTAGCTTTTAATATCTCTTAGATATTAAATATATTTGTATACTTCTAACATTTGTATAGTTTTTAGGTTATTTATTGCTGTAATGCACTTTTGATCACCTAGGATGTTAAAAAACTCACTATAAATGAATAAATTATTATTATTATTAATCTGGAACCATAACAGATGAATTAATCTGTGACTGACAGATTAGTCATCGGCCTCGTTGACATGCACGAATGTTGTTTCGCTTCCAGTAGGGAAACGATTCTTTCCTTGTTTATTTCCTGCTTTTTGGCGGCTTTTACCGCCACCTGGTTAGCTCAGTTGGGAGAGCGCCGGCCTGTTGAGCGGGAGGTCTCGGGTTCAAACGCCGGCCGGACCAACACTTCGGGTCTTTAAATAACTGAGAAGAAGGTGCTGCCTTTGTAATGACATCTGCAAATGACTAGACTTTCTAGTCTTCTCGGATAAGAACGAAAAACCGTAGGTCCCATCTCACAGCACTTTCACTGATCTGTTCTTGTGGGACGTAAAAGAACCAACACTACTGTTCGAAAAGAGTAGGGGACGTAGACCCCGGTGGTGTGGCCAACCTTTACGGGTTATGGGATTGGGTATGGATGGCACCTTGCATGGGACCTACAGTATGAGTCCCGTTCGTGCCTATTCCCTCTGGGCAGGCCTGTGTCCAGAAAAGCTTGTAAAACAAAAACAAATCAAAACAAAGCTTCTTGGAACTCTTACTTTTCCCGTTTAACTATGAGATCTAAATTTCGTCAGGCTGGCGGTGGCGACTTTTATTGACTCCAATTGCTTGCTGGTTATTTCGTTAGAACACACGATATCAATCGCTTTGTCTCTAAAGCGTACACACATGTAAGAGATTTCTTTGGAAGAAGCTTTCCTTTCGTTCCTTAGCACTGGTAATAAGAAGTGCGGGAACTGGTGTACCCAACACAAGTGCCATTACGATAATTTTGCAAGCATGTGTATGGCCTGAAGAAGAAAGATGAAGTTAAACTCCTAAAAGAAAGCTACGAAAAGTCAGATTCAGAGGAACCAGTTCTCAAACAGGAAGATATTTCAATTATGGAGTCCTGTGATAATTGATTGTTCCCAAAACTCAGTTTCTACAATCAAAACAAGCTGGAAACCAAGCTTAAATGTCAGCTGGGTACAGAAGTCACCTGTAATGTACTCATGCAGCTATAGAGATTTGCTGATTATCAAGCAAGATGGTAATCCATGGAAACTAGCAAAGCCAAGCTTTAATATTAAATTATAGTGTACTTGACGGCTACAGTGTACCTGATGAAGCCTCTTGGCAAAGTTGATCTCCAAGTCTTACATGGTGGAGAATCACAATTACTTTATTGTTTCAAAGTTTCAAGTCATTGGTGAAACAAACAATAAAAAGCTTTACTATCCGCAGAAACCAGTCAAAAGTAAAACCTCTCAAAGTAGCATCTCAAGCTGAAGTTCTAGTCTAGGATGAAAAACAAGCTCTCTTATCAGCAGAGAGTATACTGAGAGATTTTGGTGATGTCTTCAAAGATCTTAGACACATTGGCACTAGCAGATTTGTAGTTGATCCCTCAGCAGTTCCAGTACAGCACACCTCTAGACACATACCCATAGCCCTAAAGAGGGAAGTGGCAGGGAAGCTCACAGGTCTAGAAAGAAATGGTATCATGGTGAAAAAGCAGCCCGTACAGAGTGGATCAGCAATAATTGTGATAGTGGCTGCCAAAAACTGACATTCTGAATATTATGCTTAGACCCTCAGGAACTGAACAAAGTAATTCAGCATCCTAAATACCATACACCTTCAGTACGCTTGATGAAGGCAGCAGCAGATAGTTTTGGACACTACCATTGTCTGCGTATGCCCTTAATATGGTTTAAGCCTTGCACCTGAAGAATTTGAGAATATCCAACAGGAAAAACTGTCAGACTTAAATGGAAGGTGTAGACGTGATTAGATATCACATCTTTGTTATGGGATTTGCTGCAACGGGAGAGCAAGAAGTCAGTAATCATGATAAGAACTTAATCAAATTACTAGAAAGAGTATGCAAAGTTAATCTTAACCTAAACAGCAGCAAAATGGAGTTGAAGAAGCCTGAAGTGAAGTTTATGGGTCACAGGATGGACTCAAAGCAGATCCTGATAAGGAGAAGGTGATACAGTTAAGGTAAGGTGAAAAAGCCTTCCAAGAAATTAAGATGCTAGGGGTGAACCAGCCTGTTCTTAAATACAATGTACTACGATAAAGAAGTCACCCTACATGTGATGCAAGAGAGAGAATATTGGGCTCTGTGGTTCTCCAGAACAGCCAGCCAGTTGTGCTTACATCAAAGACATTAACACCAACAGAGCAAACTAATTATGCACAATAATCATGTTCGCCTACCACTGCTTTAACTAATACCTTTCACGGCGAGACAAGAACACTGTAGAACCAGATCACAAGCCATTTCAATCCATTTTCAAGGTATCCATGCTAATAGCTCTGGGAAGGTAACAGAGAATGTTATTACCCCTACAACAGTTTAATTTGGATGTAATGTACAAGCCTGGCTCACAAATTAGCAGATCACCTGCCAAGAGCTTATCTTGCCAGCAAATGAGAAGAAGATGAAGAGTTCCAAGTGTTTGCCTCAGAGGTTGAAGCCTTAAACCCGTTGGACTCCTTCACATGTTCAAGTGGAAGTTTAGCACAACCACAGAAGCGACCGAACAAGATGAACTCCAAAGCTTAAAGGCAATAATGTTGGTAGGATGGCCTGAACTTAAAAGTGAGGTACCCATACCTGTTCAAGAATACTGGAATAATATTATAATGAGGAAATCTACCTGCATAATGGAAAACGATCTTACCTGCATAATGGAAGTCATCTTGGCATTAAATCATGCTTCATCATTTATCCCTAGGGTTAAAGATCATATTTCAATGCTCTGTGTGTGCAAATTCAGAAAACACCACAAGCCTCTAAAGTGCCTAATTGTCCCTGGAGCCTAAGTCATCTTGTTCATTAAATCAAGAGATCCTTGGCTTGCCCTTTGTTGAAGAATACAGGAAAAACTTCTCCAACCGTCATTTAGCCTGTTGAAACCATTGCATCAGGTGCTGCACAGAGGCTCTTGTCTCAAAGAACTAAGACACTAATGCCAACTGCCTCAGCCTTGCTATGTCCTCACATAATCAAAGGTGTTGAAAAGAAGATTGAGTTAACAAGACAGAAGGAGTTACCATGATCAGACAACACAACCATTACCACCTCTGGAAGTTGGTTAGGAAATAGAGTGGCACCTCTTTAAAAAGGAAAAGGTGTGGCCACTGGAGCAACGAGGCAAGGAATTCCCGAATTCCCTCATTTAAGCACTGGGATGCTCAATGAGCAATGCTTACCAGCTGTAAATTTGCACTCCTGCAGAGGCTTTGGCTGGTTTGTCATGATCCCAGCTTACTTACTTTTTTGTTTTATACCTTCATTGAGGGTGAGGGAATGGGGGTGTTGGGGTCTTGTAGGTCCCATGGCACCCGTTCTTGCAGTCCCTCTGGCGTCCAAGCACTGTGGTTGGAGGAGTTTTTAGGGTGTTTGGCATTTGCTTGGTTGCCATGGTCACCTCCAAGGCAATGCTCCCCTTTAACGCTATAGGCCTTTCCACCTTTAAGACACCTTCTCCTAAGCTCATCTTGTCAATGAGTATAAATGTGGCTAAACTGTAATTACCCTTAAAGATGGTTAACCTTTAGACAATGCTAGTGGGTCAGCGGTTGAACCCCAGGCAGGCAGGTTTGTGTGGAGTGGCCACTTGGTTTGCTCGGGCTGACATGAGGTTGCATATCTCAGCTCTGCTTTGCTTTGCTGATCTTTGCGGATCACCGCTGTTCACAGCCTGTGATATCTGTTGGTTTTGCTCCCACTTCTGCCATCCCCGGATAGGTAAGTATGGGTTTTGGTAAGTATTCCACTGAACTCTTTCAGTATGACAGTGCTGGGTGGTTGGCGCTCGCTTGGTTCCCATGCTTACCTCCAAGGCAATGCTCCCCTTCTTTGCTATAAGCCGTTTCACCTTTAAGGCACCTGCTTCCAAGTGCATCTTGTTGATGAATTTAATTGGGTAGATGTTGGCATTGTTAATACAGAACTCAACTTCTAGGGCCTGGAGACTGCTCTTCAGCTCTTTGATTTCTTGTGTATGTACACTTACGTGTATGTGCACTTATGAGTCAATAAAGTTATCTAAATATTGTTCTCTGCTTTGCTGTGAATAAAAATCAGGAGCTACATGTAGCAAGAAAATGCAGACATATATTTTTTTTTCCTAGCAATAGCCTCTCTTCACGGAGAGTTGCGGCAACCGGAAATATAATCATTTGCAGGCTAAGATGCAGTAAAGAAATTGGGCCATTGTATTTACATGTTGTAATACCCACCAAGACCCTAAGGACTCACTTCAAGTGCTAATTTACATTTTGTTACAAAAAGGAATTTTTCAACAAAATGGTGAGGAAATGCACTTCTATAAATAAAATCCCTTGGAAAGGTATGTGTTCAACATGTGCAATAATCTTCAGAAGTATTGAAATTCTACACCATCACTTCAGAAACTCTCATCATCAGTCTCTCTACTTCATTCATCCTCATTGTACATATATCTTGTGGTCCAAAATCATCTTTGGATTAAAGTTTATTTTCTTATATTTTAGGATATGGCAATGTATGATAGTGTCACAGTGATGAGTTTGAAAAAAACAAGAGACAAAAATAGAAAAGAAAAAGAAAGAAAGAAACTTTGAACCAAGGATTAAATTGAGCCACGATATATACATCCCAGGTATAAATGTATCTCCTCTTTTGTACAAGTGCTTGAGCTTCAAATAGGCCATTTTCTGGTTGTCGGCTTTATGCCCTTGGCTTTGAGCGAATGTGTGCCCAAGGTTGAGCTTGTTTTGATACAAACCTCTTTCCTTAATTTCTAAAGGAAGTTATGCTTAAAAAATACTAGTTAGGATAAGAACAACATGATTTACACAATAAAGCACGAATGGATGTTTCGAAACAAGGTCAACTCAAGCCTCGTTTCCACCTGAAACTGAAAAATGGGCTATTGAAGATCATTGAGAGCACATTTCTGGCACAAAGTATTGATCTGCGTCTCGTGTTGTTTGGGAGTACAAAAAGGTATTTTCTTACCTAAAATTTGACCCCAAATAGCTAATTTGGACATACAGTCCATTAATGCCTACCTCTATGCACTGTACAACGTCCAAACAGGTGTAGAGTTGTAGAATCTGAAGGGTTTTTACATCTCGAACAAGCAATCGATACTGAACGCAGTTACCCTTGAAGGTAAAATGAAACCATTTGACCAGAAGTCATAGTTGGAGAAAAAAAATTAATTTGTACTGTGTGAGCCAGGGCTACAAATAATTTCCCGGCTGGCGCCGGTCAAATTGTCCGGTCAAACCTATTTTTGCTCGGACATATCCCATTTTTGGCCGGACAAACATCGATTACATCTTATCGCTATAAAAGTACCCCCTCACCCCTTCACATGATGTTTAAATATGAAACAAGTAATTCACACCCGTGACTGGTACACATTTGTAAGACCCGCTAATTTGCGGTGACGACTTGGTGAATGACAAAGCCACGACAGCCGGAAATTTTGGTCTGGTAGTTAAGTATCCGTCTTTTCCCCTCCTTTTTCACAAACGCCAATAATATTGAACCTTTAAATATTTAAAAGTTGAAACTCTAAATTTTTTCCTTACCAGCCTAGACGACCGGGCAAATTGTCCGGTCATCTAAGGATTTGACCGGACAAAACCTATTTTTGACCGGACATTGTCCGTTGACCGGCCGTTATTTGCAGCCCTGGTGAGCGGAAAACAGACGTTTCGATACAAAGTCATGTCGCTACAAGTCGTTTTGACACGACCTCAAGCACTCTTTTGATACGACCTCAAGCACTGAAGTTACTCGTTTCGACCATTTTACGTATAATCTACGCCTGAACGAGAAAAACATATGGAGTGATTATTCTTCGTTCTTTAAGCCAAGTACGCAAAACTATTTACACGTTGACTGAACATTAACTTGTATCGAAACGTACATGACTTCGTGCGAGCTCCGTGCACAGCAATCACCAACGATCATAATATTACCATGTACTTTCCATTTGGAGAAAACTTGCTCAGTTGGTTGGTCTGTTTGAAGAGTTCTGAAAAGTTCATCTTGGGCTAAGGCAACTCTGCCGGCAAAATTAACAAATCACGACATGATATCCTCCCAAAAACAAAGCGAAAACATACAAAAAGGAAAATTCGAAGAAACCCGCCATAATAAACTTGGTAGCCACGCTTTTGTTGTTATTTGCCTTCACGCATGATCATAATGCTCTCGCTGACCAATTGTACCGACTTTTCATCTTCTTTCAAACAATCTCAAACGACGTGTATGGTTTTCATAGGATCTATGTTCTTGTACCCTACTTCGAACAGTTTTGTGCCAGTGTTGATGAAATAATGAACCTTAAAAATTGGATCAAAAGCATTCCAGTTCACATGGTAAGATTTCTTTCTACTTTAGTGTAATTATTTTGTAAATAGTAGTGCTACGATCTCCAAAGATCACTTTGTTTTAAAACATAACCTTACATGTACATAGGTCTGCTGCCTGAGGACTTCAGCTTTTAAGTCGAAATGTTTGAAGCACAGTTTAATCACCCTATTATTTAGGGTGCTTCTGAGCTTGGAGGGTAAGACCCTATTATGATCAAGCAGTTGCATAAAGCCTGGTTTGGTCATCATCATGCGCCTGATTTGTAACGTATCTATTTCCAAGACCTTGGAGTACAGTGGTTTTTTGGTGTTTATTCACCGTGCATGCATGTGCTTTATTTGTTATGTGTCTACACTGTATTTCCAAGACCCCTTGGAGTAAAATGGTATTGAAGCTTAAGATTAAACTTTAGTTGATCCTACCATTTTTCTGTTTCCTAGCCCTGGGGGACAATGGAAATTGAGAATCAAAACAGCTTTAATCAAAATTAACCTGAAATCAAATTTGATCCATAACATAACACACTGTGTGTGTTGTTTTGTGTAAGGGACCGACAGCCAGACACTTTTATTATTCGATTAGCACATGTCTGTGCACAGTATAGCAGCCTACATCTTTCAGCACAGCCTTGGATGGGGGCAGTTTGTGGGTAGATTTTGAGTGCGTTAATTTGTCATCTAAACGAATTTGCAAGGCTTCAAGTGTTCCTATATTTCCCATAGTTTTAAACTTTCCCTATATTTTCCTATTTAGTTTGGAAATGTCCCATAATTCCTATAATTCCATCAGAAAATAAAAATGATATACTGAAGTTCATGAACTTCTGTCGGTGGAATGTGACAAAGATAGAGAATGTTTTGGACCATCCAAGGCTAAACTGGTAATAATTTAGTGATCGTTATCCAGATATTTTCCAGATGTTAGAAGGAGTATGCAGCAACTTTGTGTACACTCATTTTTCAAACGCAAGAGGGTCGAAATGTGCACTCAATAATTGGTTGCTTTTTAAGTAGCCAGTAGGAAAAAAAGAATTTCCAATCTGTGATGGGGTATCTGTGATAATGTGCAAGGTTAAAGCTCAGTCTGAAAGAATGACTGTACCATTTTCACCATAAATACTAGTGTTATGTTCCTTTAATTTTAACTGAACACAAAGCCAGTGCTACACTGACAAGGTTCAGATAAACCATGGTCTTACCTGATCAGAAAGTGGCATATTTTATGAGTAACCAAACAGTCACCAGCTGTGAAGCTATAAAATTCAAAAGTAATAACCAAAGAAGGAATTGCTTATAAAAACATTGTACTCCACTCCAAAGACTCGTATTATCTACAAAGAATTGGAGGGTATCAGTCGTTAAGTACAATTCTTTATAGTTGGTGAGTTGACGTAGCTGCGAGTTTAGGCTATGATTCCTTTCTTTTAAATGCGGATCTGTAGATCACTCTTCATGAGAATTCTATACACCCAGCAAGCATCTCGTAATCTCTGGGCCCAGTTAGTGCAACAAAAATTAATATGGTAGGGAGTCATTGCAATCACAGACAAAACGACTCTACATTTATTTTAAAAATTAAGAACAGGAGGTTAAAGTTGTGTAGGCCCACCAGTTTCACTGAACATTGCATGTAGAAAACGGTCTAACAGTTGCAAAACGCAATAACACAGGCCATCTGATAGGGTGCATTAAAAATCAGAAATCATGCAATATTTTTAGGGTAGATTGTGCGATAAGGTAGGACTATTATGCGATAAATTATGTGATTTTTTCAGGGCTAATTGACTTTGTTTTACCAGGTTTCAAAGGAGAAAAACCACTTTAATGTTGTTTAACAGGCAATTTGGATGTAAAGGAATAATAAAACATCTGTTTTAAAACAAAATACCGGTAGTTAAATTTGTCCAATTATTTTGACCCGGAAAAGAAAAGGGACACTTGTTTAATGTTACATGACGCCGTTACACCGCTGACCACACTGCTTGTCTCTGAAATCAAATGGCTGCCCAGATACAGCGATTGAAGGTTTCAGATGCCTTGAAAGGCTTTCTTTTGTGGTAAATCACCTCAAATAACATTAAGATTGGGAAAAAAATGCTTCATTAAAGTTAGAATTCATTGTTTATTTTACTTGAATTTAGCATTTTTTTACAAATTATGCGATTTTCCTCAACTTTTGCAATCGGATGCGATTTGAGGTCAATTGTGCAAAATCGCACCATCGCGTATTATCAGATGGCCTGATAACAGTATTTTCACTAATACTTCTTTAGGTTCAGTGTGTGTGTATTAATCCAGGTACATTTTTTTTGTTTGCTCAAAGTTAGAGATCTTATTCAGAAAAATTCTGTGTAAGTGCTCACAATGTTGGACTAAAATTTGTTATATTCCTTACCCTCTGCAGAGTTGCAAAAGTGGCACTGGATATAATATATTGTGGTGTAAAAAGTCACTATATTTCCCCTATTATTTTACCATTTTCCCTATACATGTATATTTTTAAAAAATTGCCCCTATACTAAGCCCTTTATTTTTGCTTGAGGTTACTTCAAGCCCTGAATTTGGCACCCTTTGTTGACACCAATCTGGCATTGACCCAGTCCTAGAGATTGCACACTCCAAACTGTCAACCTTTCCTGCCTTTGAAATACTACATCTATACCCTATTTTAAGAAGTTATTGGAAGTGGATATTCTATTCTACATCTTGCATTCTGAAATCACAACCCTTTGCATTGGGTGTCCTTACTCAATAGGCTTGGTGTTCTAGTGTTAAACCAAACATGATACAAACCTTTGTCATTTTCTGATGGAAATTAAGCTTAAAACTACTAGCTAGCATATTAAGAACAACATGATATACATAAAAAAGCAGGAAGGGCTATATCAAAGTAAGGTCAACTCCAGCCTCATCTCAATCTGTAACTACATGTACAGCTGTACATTGTATAAAATGGATTATTGATGAAAAAGGGGTGCTTATTTGAGTACATGTTTGTACAAACTACATGTAGTGCACTTATTTGAAGGAGGCTCTTACAGACCAGTAGAGTTCCTACAATTCCTCTAGCTAGTAGGGTCTCCTGGTTTTTACAAGGCTCCCAGTCCCTGGGTGAGTTGTGAACTGACATTGATCTGGACTGGTCCTTTTTTAGTACATGTACAGTGTACGTATGTCACTGACTGTTGACATTTAGGCACTGTTATTATTGTATTGTAGAAAAGCAAACAACTTGTGCAAAAAGCAAAAAAAAATATGATTAATTAATATGCATCATTTTATTCCTATGTTTTAGGACTATGAAGGACAGAAATTAGCAGAAAGACTCTTCCACATTATCATATTATTTTTTGGGGTAGGCAATTAGTTCATTCTTGCTAACTTAAAATTCCTTTGTGGCATTTACTTAACAATTAATGAATGAGGCTGAGTATCTTGTGAAGAATTATGGAGATCGAGGAGGGTGTTATCGGTGGATAACATGCTCCGAGATCTCCATAATTCGTCATATGATACGAAAGCCGAATTCTATAATTGTTTTATTTTTCATTCAAAATAATTCCTGGTTTAAAAACATGGCTAAAACATGCTTACCTCCATCAATCCATCAATGTTCAGTTCATCTTCAATAGTGCACGTTTAGGTTTGTCCAGCTCTGCAAATATTCTCCAAATAGCAGATGTCACCCTTCGAGTTGTCTTCTTGCTGTTGTTGCCATGTTTTTAGCTAATTTTTCACCTAGTTCTTACTCTTGAAATGAGTGAAATGTCCACCATTTTTCAAGTTCACAACCAAAACAACTCAACCTCGTCCTCAGGTCTTGTCGGTTAACGGTGCCTTAACCTGCAAAAACGCTGCATTTTTGACATCATTTCCTCGTTAAACACAAAATTCTTCCAAATTTGGTCATCAGTAACTGGTTATGGTGAATTAAACGTGTGCTTTTAGCCAATCAGAATCGGGAAAATATTCTGAATGAATAATAATTTACTTTAAGGGTTTGGGGGTATGAAATGAACCATGATATAGATGTCCTTGAAGAAACATTCGCTTTATAACTTGAATTGATCTTATTTCGAGCATACAGTCCCCGCGCGAATGTTAAACCATGCCGCATTGTGTTACAGCTGTACGTGTATCTCTTTGAAAAATTGTCGAGAAATCAGTCATGGGTGAATCTGTTGTTTTCTGTCCTGCGAGACTCGATTCTCGATGCGATTCTCGATAGCTTAATCTTGATTCGCGCAAGAATCGAGAATCGCTAATCGAGTCAAGCATCGAGACTCACAAGGGACTGTCAACTTACTTTTGAATGGGACTGTAATAGATAGGAGGCAATCAAAAGAGAGGGGTATTCTCATAACTATGATAAGCTCAACAAAAATAATACTCTTTCAATGAAAATATTGACAAGAGAGTTTAGAAGAATAAGATAATATTCAGTCTACCCATTAATACAATGTATGTCCGATCAATAGGCCATTTCTGAGTTCCCCCAGGCCTCTGTATCAAATCAAGGTCAAGTGCTCAGCCTTTGATATGGAAATAATTTTTCATTCTCATGCAAATCAAACTCATTTTCACAAGAAAGGTTGTGCACTTGGCCTCATTTTGAAAGTGAGGGTTTTTGGAACTTGGAAGTGGCCTATTTAGGGTACTGGGAAGCTGCCTACCTACCCCTCCCCTAAGCCAACATTTTGTCCTAAGTGCGGAGAAAGTGATAATGATGTTGGCTTAGGGAAGGGGTAGGTGGGCAGCTAGAGATCCATATCACTCTTTCAAATCTCAAAATAGGGAGCTTAAGCAGCGACATTTTTGAACGACGCACGTCAAGCGGAAGTGAGCCTTTTCCTCTTTTAATAAGCCTTGACGCTACCGTATTTATATTGCCAAGTGTCTTAATTCTTACAGAGACGATCTGCCCAAAAATTTGTTCAAAATCACGGCTCAAGAGTGCAAAATGTCCATTTCCGGTTGACATGCGTCGCTCAAAAACGTCGCTGCTTAAGCTCCCTAATAAGTGTCAGAATCCTTGGTCAGGAATATTGTGTTGTGATTTTTAGTCTAGCCTTAATACTGTGAACGTGCCATTGAATGGGGCACAATGCACAGCAAGAAACTTTTTAATAATTGAAACTGAGTGATTTGGTTCTTTTTTTTTACCAATTCCTAGTATTTTAGATAAATTGTTTTCGCCATTGTCTATAAGGCAGAGGGTGTTATTAGAGAGACCCATGTAATACAAAGTTAACATCGTAGAGGGGCTGTTTATTAGATAAGTGGCATTTATATGAGAGTAGGCATCTATTATTATACCGCACATGCATGTTCATTGCTTTCAGGTTGTTGGGTTTCTGTGGGGATATTATATCCAACAGTTTGGTGCAACTTTTATTATTCTTGCTGCTGGATTCATAGTCAGTTGTTTGGTAAGTACTGTGTTTCCTCCTGAAGGTGTCAGCCTTTAGTTTTACATGTACAATGCCTTCCCCATCCCTGGCCTTAAGCACAAAACATGAATTCATAATGTAAAATAGTTATGTCTAATTATGTTGTTGGGCCCCTGCCTACCTGAAGAAGCTTCTAAGATTCAAGTCATTCAAGGAGAGTGCTGCTTAAATGTAAGATCAAAATGGCAGTACCCAATTATTATTAATGTTCTAAGTGCAAGACCCTTGGGTCGGGGCCTTTGCTCATGTTGGCCTCTCCCTTTGTAGCTGGGGATGTTTCTCACGAAACGTCCCCAGCGGCGAAGAGCGAGGAGAAAGGGATGTTTTCGCAGGCTACTCCCTTTGGAACACTCTTCCTGTACCTACCAGAAGTACTTACTGTTTTGTAATAAAAAAAAAATACACGATGTACAAGCTCTAAATGTGCAGATTGACTTTAGTTGACATACCAGTAGCTGAATCAAACTTATGGTACATGCAGGATGCATTTATGTTAAACTATGAAGTGTGATTTTTTTTGGAACCAGATTGTACTACCACCATGGCCCATGTACAGAAAGAATCCACTTGACTGGCAGAAACCACGACCAGAAAAGAGTGACACAAAAAGGGAAGGAGGAAAGAAGAAGAAATAGTTTTATTTATAATGACAGCTTTCATCTCAACATACTTGTTGGGGTCAACTTTCTAATATTAAAGTTCAAAAAATTAAACATGAAACAACTGTTATTAACTCGTTTATTTGGGTTCGTTCCTTTGAGATGATCTGGATCAGGATCAGTGATCCAAGATCACTCGGATCATGGTAGATCAAATGAATCGACGAATCCTTGTCCAGAGTGGATTCATTGGTTTATTTGATCTACAATGATCCAAGTGATTTCGGATCACTGATCGTGATCCGGATCATCTGAAAGGAATGCACCCTTTGTGAACTTATACTATTTAATTGAACACTTGACCTTTGGCATGTGAAAACTCTGATCAGGACCCCATCTGAACTCTGTTAATCAAACGCCGGATAACTCGAGAAGACAGTGACCTATGCCAGAATAAAAATTATGCAAGTAGGGAACACAGGGACTTCCATCGCCTTACTAGTTACTCGGGCCATCCTCACATGACCTCCATAGTTGTTGACGAGCGATACTTGCATTCCAACACATATCATAACATTTTTATTAGCATTCCCATATACAGTCTAAATGGTATTGCTTTTAAACTATTCAACTATAAAATAATCAAATAAACAGATAGTATATAATTAGAAGTTATAACTAGAAATCTGTATTTCCCATGCTTTTGTTTTATGGAATAAAATTCTCTAAGTTGAAATGCTTCATAGACACAGTAGCCAAGTTTTTTACAAACATATATAGATCGATATTGTTAAAATAAATATAACTTTTTCCTATTTGTTTATTAAGTCTACGAATTTGGAGTATATGGTTTCTACGGCTTGAAAAAAGTGTTGCCTTAATTTTTTTTAAATTGCATTTGAATAGAAAATGAATTTCATTCTCTACTTTATTCGACAAGCAAAGCTGACATATCCTAAGAGGCTCAGGAATTTTATTTTAGGAAGATTGTATCTGTCAGTTTCAATTCTTAGATTGTCATTACTTACTGTTTTATTTTGGCAGCTTCGAGTTACACTATATAAAACCTTAGAAAATTCAGTTACCGTATTTCTTCGAATAAGCGGTCCCCGAGGCCAGACTAGCGATTTACCCTCTCCCTCCCCGATCACTTTCTTGATGGAGAGATCAGAAGGAAAGTTCAGTCCTTTGTGAACTGCTTAGCCTGTGAGCGAGCTCTTCTCTTTTTGGAGGAGTCCTGAGAAGTCACCCAAGAGCCGCACGCGAAAGAAAATCGCGGCTCGCTTCGCTCGCCACTCGAACTGGAGAGCTTACTGGCAGGCTATCAATTGCTTATCTTAACACTTTGACTTGGCAGACTTTGATAATATAACCGGTTCTAGGCAACTCTGTACACGTGTGTTTCAAAAGTAGCCTGAATTTTAGACGATAACTCAGAAAAGGTCAATGCCACAATACAGTTTTAGTATACAGAAATGTAAACGTAATGAGCTATTCAATGCCCACTCCACCCTTTTGAAATAAGCGCTCGGGCGCTTATTCGAACAAATAAGGTATTAGTCTATCTACAATGGAAAAAAGAAGTTTATGTTCTAAAATTCGTCATGCAGATATGCCGCATAGTTGGCCATACTGCTTCCAGTGAAAAGCTGATAGTTCATAATCATTTCCTGCTCTGATAGAAACCCGTCATAATCTCTGTCAGCCACTCGTAGTAGGTAATTTGCCTCGTTGATCGCGCGCTGCTCGTGGGTTGGAGCCAAGTATTTAGTTAACTCTTCTGAGTTCACTATTCCATCTCCGTTCTCGTCCATTGCAGCGAATTCCTCCTCGCGTCTGGGAAAATAAATGTACAGGTTATTTAAGCAATAGACCACACTTTCTATGGGGTTTACCGGCGTGATAACCCACGCGGGATGTAGGATGTTGGGAGTGATTTACAAGACTTTTGATTGTTCTCCTAACATCCCAAGTGGGTTATCACGCCGGTAAACCCATAGAAAGTGTGGTCTATTGCTTGTATAAAATAACTTTAAGTTTTCTTTGAGTTTACCGGCACACTAAACCTTAGATTTTTAACCAATCAGAACGCACGTACTATCTCGGTTATTTTATTAAAAGTAAGAAGAGTAAAGGATGCGAGAAATGAAGTGGTCGTTAGTTACGTCTGATATAGTTTATTATACGAATTTAAAGTAAGTATAGGAAAATGTGTATCCATGTCAATTTATAGCCTGCGAATACAGCTCTTTCTCCTCGCTCCTTGCCGCTTGGGAAGTATCTTCACGCGACAAGCAGCGAGGAGAAATGTCTGTTGTTCGCAGGCTAGTCAATTGAAGAATCGTCTATAACTTAATTATGACTATGATCATGATTATTATTACTTATTCTTACTATTTTATTGTATTATTTTTTCACATTTTTTAATTTTTTGTTTTTCATTTTTAGATCAACGTTTAGGATATCGAATTTCTTTAAACCTGTATGTGAGCAGACACCTTCAGTTAATAATTAATTCTTCTGCGTGTTTACCTTACTGTTAATTGCAACTTTGCAGATTCTGATTCTGTTTAAAGGTCAAGAGAAAAGTTCGAGAAATCATCCTCATAATTATATAGTTAAGATGCAAATATACTCAAACTAAAAATATATCCACACAAAGTTAAAAAGTGCAAGCAATGGTTATAAGTCTTATAAAGCCTGTTTAGCTTTAAATCTGTTTGGCTTTAAATCTGTTTTGTAAGTTTTTTTGTGAATAGCTTTTACGGACTTGACCGTGCACAACGTCAAGACGTTGACCGACGTTAATAGCATTTTGATCATTCTCAACTAAATGACCAACAGAAATACCAATTCGTTCATTCAGTTTAACAATGGCGAATCCAGGAGGAGGGTCCGCGGGGCGGATCCCCCTTCCCCCCATCAAACCTGACACTTGTTTGAGACTGAAATTCTTACATCGACAGGATTGTATATAACTTTTTCACTGGTTGTTTTCTTTTTTTTTAATGAAACGCGCGTTGTATTTTGCCCCTAAACTTAATTCCAAGGGTGCACCTTTCCGAGAAGAATTCAAGTAAACAGTTTGTTACGCCGTATAAATAGGTATAAACAACAGCAACAACAACAACAAACGAGACAAAACAAACGTTGAATCATAAAAGAGCAGCTAGCAATTAGATCTGAAATTTTAAACATTATCTTTCAGCTATGAAAATAAACTCAAACAAAAGAAAATCCCGCAAATAACTTTCATTAGTACAAACCAGGGAGTATACAATCTTTAAATCTGTTAATTCGCACTAGTTTAAAAAAGATAATCTTCAAATGCAAAAATTCACAGCGGTGTAGCAGATTCATTCAGCAGCAGTGCGAGGGCATAACATCACATACTGGCATGAAACCTTTATTTTGACGCGATATGAGTAAATAGCACGTGAGGTAGTGTATACTACTGAACTAAATACATCAAATGAAATATATACAGAGCTAAGAACAAAGAATTAATCTAAGACCGAAAATATCAATTTAAATTTTTTTCTATTGTGAATAGCATCAAATCTTAATGAAAATCCCTACCGTCAATGTACTTACTGTGAAAAAAAACGATTTCTATAACCTTTAACAAAACATACTGAACTCAAAAGCAATAACGAAACCCAGACCAAAGTAAATTTCCGGTTCCTAGCACTGCATGGGACAAGGGACATTAATACAATTTTGAATAGAGCAATAAATAATACCACTCAGTTGGAAATTTACTTTTATCGGAGCCAAAAATTGCTGCAGATGTATGGCGAGCATAGAACACAATTTCTACTAAAATATCGAAAAGAGGCGTTCTTCGCAAATAACCTTAACCTCTGTGTCTAAAATCTCCTACACTGTTGCACTGTTCTTCAATGAACTATCGAAATGAAACTATCGACAGCCTTCACATGAGAATCCGGTTATTCCACCCGGGTGGGGTTGGATGATGCTTTAGGGAATATTGCACGCGGTAAATCGAAAGTAATGTATTGAAGATTAAGATCCTTTCGTTAATTTTTGGTAAAGATATTGAGCGCCATGATATTCTAAAGAGGGGTTAAACTAAAGCTGTTTAGTAACAGAAGTTTGGAAAGTAATATTAGTGATGAAATCTTGTTCATAATATCATTGAAAAGACTCATTATTATTGTACTTGATTAAAACAATAAAAGATTCAAGACGCTTTCATAAACTTTATAACAAGGTGAATAGAAAGCAAACCACCGCTTTTTCTTAGTCCTCTTTCAATAAACTTGATTACAACAAACAAAATCAAATACCTCATTTTCTACACGTGAAACTAAGTTAGGCAACTTCACCTGCCATGAAGAGGAGTGTAAACAAGCGGTTTGCACTTTAGCGGTGTGTTTTAACAAAAACAGTGGAAAGTGGATCAAACCCCCCAAAAAGTAAAAGAAGCACAAAAAGGACGTCCCATAAAATTTCGAAAAATGAACGGAACTGGACCTGAAGAGCAGGCCATGTGCGAGGGCGCTCTAAACAAGCCATCTTCGGCTGCACTTACAGTTTTAAACGGTTTGTCAGGTATGGCTTCCATAGGTGGAAACCTATTGGTTTTACTGACAATTTACAAACAGCCGCGTCTTCATACAATTTCTAACTACTTCATAGCTTCTTTGGCCGTGGCAGATATCATTGTCGGCCTGGTGATTAATCCAATATGGGCAACTAGGAGCGCAATGAACATTTGGGAGGAAAAAGAACCACTCACAATAGCATCAGAGTGCTTAGCCGCCCACACCGTCGTCGCCACATCACTGAACCTTTGCGCTGTCTCGATCGATCGATATTTAGCGGTAGTAAACGTGTTTCGCTATGACACATCGCTCAGCGAACGCCGATGTAGGATCATAATATGTTCGATATGGCTGGCCGCGTGTTTGGCTCTTCTTCCTCGCGCCTTGATACAAGATCGGTTGGACCTACAAAAGTTTTGGATTGTGGGGTGTACAATCACCTTTTTCATTCCTCTATGTGTCATTGCTTACTGCTATGTTCACATTTTTAAGGTAGCGCGATCTCAAGCTAAGAAAATTCAAGTGGTTACCGTCAGCAGCGAGACGGGCAGAAAGGCAGCGATGAACAGCATCAAGGAGAGAAAAATAGCGCTAACCATCGCCATCATCATTGGCCTATTCATAACTTTATGGTCACCTTCTTTCGTATTACCTTCTATTCAGACGTTTTTTGCAGATGATTGTTTAAAAATACAGCTTAAACAGCGGTGGTTTTGGACCGCGTTTGTTGCATTTTCCAACTCCGCGGTTAATCCGTGGGTGTACGCCTTGAGAGGGGAGGAATATCGAAGTACGTTCAGGAAACTGTTAAGAAGAGGAGACACAAACCTTCACCTATCCTTTTACAATGAAAAAATTGAAACAAGACGAAAAAGATTACAAATAGACTGTGTACCGGAAAGTTAACTTGAAAGGCGCAGATAATATAAATTTATAAATTTATTCATTTATCTACCTATTTTGATGGTGATGGTGATGATGATTATGATGATGGTGGTGGTGGTGGTGGCGATGATGATAATGATGATGATGATGATGATGATGATGATGACAAATTATTTAGCAGCTTGCAGTATTTTGTTTGCTTGCAGTGTTGTTGTTTTGTTTTTGTTTTTTGTTTTTTTTTTGTTTTTGCTTTTGTTGTTTTTGTTTTTGTTTTTCTTACAGCTTTAATTTAACCTTAAGAGAAGAAATGTTAGCTTTATTGTACAGGAAACAGGATTATAACAACGAATCAAGCTGGGTATCCTGTTATAAGTATAGACTGCATCCTTAATTATTTATCATTCACCGTTTGTCATTCATCTTTCCCCCATGCAGTGAAATTTGAAAAACACTAACATTACCATTTGCGGGTCGTACATCAAAGCGAAAAAGAAAGTTAAAAATAATACAACAAAAAAGAAAGACATGGTAAACGCGTGCAGCCATCGAGTTATAGATGCATGCAGGACGTGGTTAAGCACAAAAAGAGCACAAGAGTAGCTCAAGATGTAGGCGAGGGCGATAGAAGTTCGGATATCTATAACAAGCAAATGTTTTCCTAAATAGTAGTTTTCCTCCTTAATGTAGATTAGACTGCAAAACAGTCCGTATTTTTGCGTATTCAAGTACGCGCAAGCAGTCAAACAAAAGGTCTGGAACGAGGCTGAAAACAGAGAGCGAGACTGGGGAGAGACGCTAAAACAGTGGGTTTTTTCCTCTCGCCTCACACGCCCTACACTCGCGTAAGACTCTTACGCCACACTTTACCGATTTCTTTACTGATTTTGAGGAAAAAACCGACTGTTTTGCAGTCTAAATGTAGAGTGGAAGAGCTTTCATGATATTCTGAATGATCTCTGTACAGTTGCTATCAATAAAAACCTTAACGAAGACTGAAGTCTAGTAAAAAATGATGCATTGACCAATCAGAAGATACACCTCACCTCAGCTATGTTATAAATAAAGGTTACACAATAAAAACTCTAAAAAAAAGGAAAAATGATTCCAAGTCTAAATTTAAGTGAGACTTTTTTTTCCTGTATACAATAATTTAGTGCAATGAGCAATAATTTAACATCTTCAAATATGTAACAGTGCCAGAAAATCGTTGAGCAACCCAGGCCAAAAATGACAACATATACTGTTTGTCGGCAATAAAAGTATCATTTTCTTTAAACTGCCTTTAAGAGGAATTTGCACGATTTTCCTATATGTTTTCTCACTGACATTTATAGGGCGTAAGAAGTAAGAAGTAAGTAGGAAGTGCTGACAGGAAAGTCCAACTCCAAGACAGCTGGAGTACAATACATACTGAATAAAAAGCAGCACACAAAAAGTATGCTAAAAAGTTTGCTTCAGTATATTTACAAAAAAAAAATGCTCAACTAAGTGTACATGTATCAAGCGCATGATGGCCATTTTAATAATACAGGTGACAACAGTGGCAGAACTCTTGTGGGGATGGCCATAAGGTGGCCACATCAGAGGGTTTCATTTAAAATTATTTCTACATTTATTTCAGCACTTTAATTACTGGCCACTTAGTGGAGGGAGGCCGCTTAATTGAGCTGTATTTTATTGTACATGTACTCACTCTTTGACGTATTCATTATCCATATTGGCTTCTTCCTGAGTGTCCACTTCACCAGGGGGCAGGCGAATGAACTCACTCTTTGTAAGCACCTTCAAAGAAAAGCAGCACTTATTTTAAAAATATTATAAACAGACAGATTATTATTATTATTATAAAACATTATAAACAAAGTCTCTTTTAATATGACTTAATGTACTTTACCAAAGGGTTCTATCAAACCAATACTATTTACAAAACACTACTGGTTAGTGTTTTTTTTAAAACGGCTCAGGGGTTGTCTTTGTGCATTCTACAAGGGCCAGGGGGAGGGGTACTTGGGTTAATTTTCACTGGGTATGTGCCGCTGGCCTCAAAGAGCCCCTATAGCCCATTATAGTCTATTCTGTGGCCAATTATGGAACCCATCTTAGTCACTTTTGGGCAAATATATAACCCTCACAGTCATTTTACAAGAAACTATTGTTTTTTACCAGTAGCAAGTGGGAAGAGGCTATTGGGGATGTGCCACTAGATGGGGTCACATTTTCATGACTGGATTGACTATATTGGGGTTGCATTTTCAATAGAGTTACTAGAATGGGGTCGCACATTTTCGGATTTTTGGGGGTAAGACAGTTCTTCACATTTACAGTTAGCAAATGTACCAGAATGTTTGTTCTGTAGATGAAAAGTAAAGGGTCCTTCATTCAATCTAAAAACATGGGTCAATAAGTGACTAAGTTGGGATAGCGAAAATTAATACCCATTTCTTTAGTAACATAATTGGATCTAGAATTTATACACTATATTCATTATCTGCCTTCTCGTTGGCTAAGAACCTTCACAGATTATTTTGGAAATCAATGCAATATTAAGATTAGTTAGTTATTTGCTAGCAGATAACTGACTAATCTGTAGGTTGTCTGCATACAATGTAGTGCATGACTTCCAAGAGAAATTTCAAACTGCATTCTGTGTGAGATTGGGTTTGTCATCATTTTCTTCAAACCAATGGAAAATCAGTTTTTGTAATGTCCGCAATAATCATGGTCTCAGCAAGTGTTATCAGCCGAGGCCAAATAACACTTAAACCACTACCTTGATTATTTGGAATATCACAAAAAAACCTCATCCAATAATTGTTTAAAATTGATATTTATCATTGTTGTCATAGACTTGATTCTCACACAATCTAAGGACTCTTGGGGAAAGTGGAATCAGATCAATCCGGAATCAGGCCATGTTGTTGACAATTCACCTTATCCTGATTTCGATCAAAATTTTCAATCATATCTTCAACTAAATCCTTGGTGCTCTGAGGATTGTGCTCAGGATGCTGAAAATACAGGAACTCTGACTCATCCAGCTTGTCATCCAGGTTCATGTCTCCTCTGCGGAACTTAGCATAATATTCTGACATCACTTCCTCAGGAGTACCAGCATCATCTACAGGAGAGAATGTAAAATGGTTTTGTAGCGTGCAAAGAAAGTAGCCCGTGTCCGATATCCCCAGGGCTTAAGTGGATTTTGCTCTTGGGCTAGTGAATTCTGTTTTCAACTTGCCCAACGGGCAAGTGATGTTTTTTGAGGAATTCAAATAACAGAAGAACTGTGAAATCAATTCTGCTCTTCAAAAAGATTTTGGAGCTAGTTAAAATGACGGCTGGGCTAGTAAATGTTAGCTTCATCTTGCCCGAATGGCAAGCTGTAAAAATGATTTTCTTTGCACCCTGTTTTGTTCACTCTAGAACTTCAAGTCATTCTTAAGCCAGCTGTCTTTTAAGTCAGACTAAACTCTTTCACTCTTACACCACATTATGATGTGAGAGAATTGTACTGTATAAAGAAACCTACTACCCCACAGGAGCATGCTCCTACAAGCTAAAAGAAACCAGCCCCTCCGGGAATACTGGTTTTATTTACACTAAAGAAAGAATTGTAAGTACTGTAAATAAAAATGCCCTTTTTGAGGCATGTCAGTTTTCTTCACACTGGAACTTCAAGTCATTCTTAACCCAGCTTTCTTCAACTCAGACTTAACCATTTCACTCCCTAATCACATGATGTGAAAGAATATTTTTGTCAGGAAGCTTTGCTTATATGACATCCCTGACCCTGTTATCTCTTGGATCATCAGTTTCCTCACTTCACACAAACACCCCAGTTAAGCTTGGCCCTCACTGCTTCTCAGAATGGGGTGTTGTCCCGATAGGGGTTCCCCAAGGCACAAAATTGGGGCTATGGCTGTTCATCATCATTATCAACAAGCTTGATGCTCCTGCCATGAATCTCTGGAAATACCTCGACGATACCACCATCTTGGAGACAATAAGCAAGAACCAAGAAAGTCAAATCCAGGCCGCCATTGACACCCTGGTCAACGGCGCTTTCGCGGACAAGTTTCAACTAAACAAGACAAAATAGAAGGAGCCTCACATAAACTTTAGCACTAAGAAAACCACGTCATTCGACCACATTGTAGTTAACGACATGCCAATTGAATTAGTTGCCACTGCCAAAATACCAGGCCTCCATGTCTCTAGTGATTTGAAATGGAACTCTCACATTGACTCCATTATCAAAGAAAGCTAAGAAGTGCCTACAGTAACTGTTTATCTCAGCTTAAACGCTCTGGCCTAGGTACCCGAGAGCTAGTTCAGTTTTTCTGCATTCGCCCTATCTAGGAGTATGCATGGTCCTGTCTTTCACGACATTCTTTCCAAGTATCTCTCCAATGATTTTGATGGAGTACAAAGGCCAGCTATGCACATTATTTTCACTTTCTGCTCATACAAAGAGTCTTTGGTTGGATCAAGCCTAATTAAACTTTCAGACCTCTGCCAGGAACTTGTAGACAAACTATTTCAGGAAGTTGTACAGCAAAAAGAGAATAAGCTCCACGGCCTTCTCCCCGCTCTCATAAATTAGCTTATTAGGGGTAGTGTTTTTAAGTTATCATAATTATTTTGAATAATCACCTAATTCAACCTCTCGGTTGCAATGTGATTATAAATAAACTAAATAATCTATCTTTCTATCTCTATAAATAAATCAGCCCCTTAAATTGTATTGGTTTGGTTCACACAAGAACTTCAAGTCTATTTTAAGCCAGCTTTTCTTGAAGTCAAACTAACCATTACTCCTACACCAAATTATCATGTGAAAGAATGTTAAAGTAAACCAGCCCCTTAAGAAGTGTTGGTTTGGTTTACACTGGAACTTCAAGTCATTTTCAAGTCAGCTTTTCCTCAAGTTAAACTTAACTCTTTCACTCCACTGGGGAATTGTAATTATCTGGAAACCTAAAGTTGTGTTTCAGTGCTTTTTGAGCAAGCAGGGAACAAATCTTAGCCAAGAGGATGACACTTTTATTCACCCATATCTGCCTTATTTTGTATCATTTGTTTATTTTTATTGAACAATAGTGCTGAGAAACAAATACCAAGCATTTGCTACGGCAACTGAAAAATTATTATTTTCTAAAACTGGACAAAGATTTTCTCCAGTCATCAAACCTTCTGGAGAATCCTCCTCATTCACTCCCTTCCACCCAAGAATCATGGCCAAAATCAGAGACATAGCACAAGCATAAAACCTGAGAAAATGCTGAATTTATCATTGATCTGCATTTACACAGTTGAATGACAAACCACCCAAAGGGAATATACACAAGTTTTCCAATAGTTTGCTTACTAAGCTCATCTTAAGACCACCTGGATAAACATCAAGATTCTTTTTTACTTCCAATGTGAGTCAAACAAAAAGGGTGAAAAATATACTGACATTCATTTAGATGTCAAAATAAACTGTAGTAAAGTAACTTTTTGCACGGTCTAAAGTAATTTATGAAATAACAATGAATCTATTCACATAGAAATTCTGTTGAGATACAGTAGTCACATTTTCCATTTCAAAATCCACACATTTCCTTGTCTGAGTGAACAGAGCGCAATGAAACTTAGTTTTACCGCTTGCCCTTTGTGCTTTGAATAGTCTTCCCTTTAGGGAATGTTTCATTTTATTTCGTCCGGAAAGGAGGGAGAAAGGGTTACAACAGTTTGGGGGAAGGGTAAATTGTTGCTAGACTGAAAAATACTCTGCAAATTAGATTCATCAATTTTAAATAACAATGGTATCTCGCTGTAGTGGAAAGTGCATTAGCTTATCCAGCTAGTTTACAGGCAACCCACTCAAATATCTGGAAACAAATAATTCAAATACAACATAACAGGATTAAAACCCCAACTGGCAGAAGGCAACCACTTGGTTTAACACCCAATTCTTCAAGGGGTTCTGTCACTGATAACTAAATGGAAATAAGGTGCATCTAATAATATTTGCTGGGTATTCTGTAACTAAAATTGCTATTATTTTCTTGGGGGTCATATTTTCGTTTTCCTTTACGTAGAGGGAGTATGAATTGGACAGACTTTATTTTCTCTCTCCCTTTTGTTGGTAATGAAAATGGGCTGATAGAGTAATGAGGGGACACAGACAGAGAAGTGTCTATGGTAACAAATACACCTTACAAAACATTTCACCGTCACAAATTAAGACCATGCTGGTGTGCTACTAGTTATCACGTTGGTTTGACGAGCGACAACTGTGATTTTCCACCTAGCTTTTAGCACGCCTGCAAAAGTTTAATAACGATGACGCATACAGTACACGTGTACAGCTGCACTGTACGTTGGTCCACGAATTAACGAAAAACTAATTAATACAATACAGCAATTCCAAATCACGATCTTAATTGAATTTACTTTTCGAATGCAATGAATAGAAAGTCTCTCACTATTTCGCACGAAATTTAAGTTATCTTCAAAAATGAAAGCTCCTTTGTATGTTTATCACGCAAGGACATAAACTATTTAGTTCCACTTGTGTATACTAAGAGTTTTTCATAGCTGAGGTCGACAACGCCGAAGAGAATTAAAAGCAAACTTACCTAATTCAGTTGAATCCTTCTTTTTAGTTTCATTATCCTCCCTAAACTTCAGTCGAAATTCGTCCCAGGTCACAACGCCATCACCATTCCGATCAACAATTTTAAACATTCGATGATTGTTATCTTTTGCCTCTTGAATGTGTTCCTTAATTTTTTCATGAATCCAATCTTTCATTTCTTCCTTGCTCACTTTATGATCTTCATTTTTATCAACCTTATGAAATATTTCGATAAGCCGTCGAGAACCGTCTACGTTGTCAAACAAAAGCACGCCATCTTCTACCATTTTTCCCAGAAAAGCTTCGTGGTGATACTCCTTGTTGACATGTCCGTCGCGTTCAAGCTTCAAGCCCTTGATATGATCTTCGAGTAAAGATTTCTTGCGTTTTGTATCATTTTCCTTACCTAAAGAAAGTGTTCTACTTATATTTAACGGTTTGCTTAAACTTGACGCGAGTAAAACCAGAAAGAAAATGAAAATGTAAAGACAGCGAGTTACGGTCGCCATTTTGGAAGACAAAGCGCTCGTTCCAGTCTCTTCCGTTAGGGACTGTGCAATAATTATCAGGGGGCAGGGGGGGGGGGGCTAAAACCAGACGGGGGGCCTTAAGTTAAAATAATTGAAAGGGGGGGGCTCTACATTAGATTTCTTAAGTAAGTTGAGGGGGGTCTTAATTAAATTTCACAAATTCGATAATGAATAAACAGTTCGCGAGATTAGTAAATCCGCAATATATTACTTTCGGAAAGGTATCGTGATGTAAAAATGAACATTTTCGAAATAGACAGGTGCCACTCCTTTGACTATCCATAATGTCTAAATATTGCATCAACATAAACACATGCTTTAACTTGTTTACAATGTCAACATGTGATAGATTGAAACAATCGTTCATGCACGGAAGTCACAAACCACGTTGTGAGCTTTGCCAATAAAACATTTGGCATTTAAGAGGTCCCGCAGACATGCCAGGTCTGTTCTTGATTTAAACAGCGAGAGGGTTTCTAGGTCTACAGTTTCTAGCTGAGGAATGCCACATGCTTCTGTTTCATAGTTGTCATCAATGGGTTCACGACACGACTCCGCTCAAAATGCGGCAGAAAGGACTAATGCTGCCATCGGCGAAGCGCTCACGACCGGGCGACCAGCGGAACCACCTGCCGATCCATTTCATGGACTTACGGCCTCTCAAATGGAAAGCATGACCTTAAAAGAGGTTTAAGAACATTGCCTTTCGTGGAAGGTAGGAAATACCTGGAAGTTGGCTAGAGACGTGTTGGAGAGAATTCATGACGAGCCGGGACCTGGAAAACATGATTTTCTCATCTCTGGTCCCAGTTATCCAAAGGAACAGCAGATTTTGCACTTCTTGGCCAAGTATCTAATTCAACGGAAGAAGGCACCTGTCAACAAGAGACCCACGATGTGTGGGAATGCCTTATTTCTGAAACTACAGAGGCTGAAGGATGATCACGTGAGGCAAGGACATTATTACTTAGAATACCTCAAGTTCACGTGCGAGCCAACCTGTGAGTCCTGCGAGCACGAAGGTTGGTCTGAGGGGGTTCCTGGGAATTGGTTCCCTGTTCCTACTCTCAGCAATACTTGTACGCCGCGTACATACATTCCATCTGTTGTGCCAAGAGAGGAAATCGATAGCCTCCAGCCAAGCATCCAAGTTAAGCGATTGTTTGCCACTGGGAGGAGGGTCGACAGCAAAGAGGTGCAGAGATTGTGCGACGACTTTTTGATTGACGTGAATGCCTGTAATCACTTCATAAAGCACCAAAACTTCCTTGCAATGAAAGCAAAAAAACGGGCAACGGAAAGGAACAAACTTCCAGACATTAATTGGTCCGACGAGGTTAAAGTCAACTCGTTGTCTGCAAGTAAACTGAAACTCTATCTAAAGGAACACGGTTTACCCGTCAGCGGAGGGAAAGCAGCACTCGTAGCTCGTGTTCTAGTGCTGGGGAAGCTCAAGGTAAAGAAAACCCGGATGAGCAGCAATCTAGCAGTTCCGAAGACCAAGAAGATAATGAACAATCAGACGATTCGGAAATTGACGATTATGAAGAACAAAGTTTCGAGGTGCATCCCTGACGACGCAGTGGAATGCGTTGCAGTACGGTGAATAAAGGTACGGGTTAGAGAGAGGGGGGCACATCATAATTTTGAGAGAACGTGAGGGGGGCAGAGCTAATCTTGACGCTGCTGGAGGGGGGACCTATCTAATTTTTCCTTTGGTGAAGCTCATTTTAGGACCCCCCCCCCCCCCTTCCTGATAATTATTGCACAGTCCCTTATGAGCTTTGCCTTGGCATCGCCAACGCAGGTCCCTCAATTTCCTCGAATAATAGCCGGGGGCGATTATTATTCGAGAGAGGCGATTATTTTAAACATTGCTCACTGGAAGTTTTGCCCTAAATGTTTTGTTTTATTTTCCCATTGAAAAAAAAGGGATCACATCAAATAAACTGAACATGGGCTTTTTTGTTTAGGGCCAATCATCGTGTACAAAGCTAATTGCGGATTGTTGGCACATTTGATGCAAATAAACTGAACATGGGACTTTTAATAAATGATAAACAGTGTTCCAGATTTGGTTCCTTGATTTCAAAATCAAAACCCGAGGTTTCAATGTCAATGTCCTCGGCGTCAGAGCTTGAATCATCACGGATGGGTTTTGCCGCATCAGACTCCCATCCCAGATGCAGATAAGACAAACAACCAGGAAATTGACAAAAATGGAAGGGTGTTTTTCAGTGTTCCAATTTGGTTCCTTGATTGCAATGAAGGGTGGGGAGCTTGAATCATCACCGGGGTTTTGATTATTCAACTTGACAAGGGGGACTGCGATTAATCGAGGGGGCGGATTAATCGAGGGGCGGGATTATTCGAGGAAATACGGTAACTTGGCTTCCGTCGGATTAGAAGGACTCAATTAACCAGATCCACGCGTTCCCAAAGCTAGTATTAAAGTTTGCAAGACAGAAAGGAGAGATTCACGGAAGTGATATAGTGACTGTGGAGTGATTTACAGTGCAGTGAGTGCGCCCCAAAGCATGCGCAGTTAAAGAGTTTTTGGTACCAGATAGCAAGTCATCACAATTACGCATTTCATTGGTTTAATCAGAATTTTTACTCATTATTTTTAAACGTTAATGTATAGAGCACTCCGGAATAGAGGCGACAAAGTTTTCCTTTGTTAAACTTGAGGAATTTTTCAGCAACGTAAAAGAAACAGCCTTTAATTGATGCCAACAGCTCGGTTTCATTCTGAAAGGATGCAAAATTAAAAATTATCAGAATTATACAGCGTGGTTGCTAGATATTAAGTACAGAATCAATAAACTAACCTGAATGAGGCCATTAATTAGAAAAATGACAGGAAAATATGACGAAATGGATGGCGATTGTCATTAATTTTAATTCAGTAATCGGGTTTAACCGGTGGCTGGCCGGCCAGGCCCCGACCACATATCACGCCCATGTATCCCGATTTTGGTTTTAAAAAAGAAATGTTCGCTGAGGCTTGCTAGCACGAGAATAACACGATTTGCACATGAAAAGCAAAAGGTTTTTTACACAGGTCACCCTCCAGCTTTGCGTCTATTTAGAGGCCGGGAAGCATGAGCAAGCAACTGAAAAATGGCCTCTTTATAAGGCCAGTTAGGATTGAAGGAAGTCCAACTTAAATATATACGAGTCATTTTAATATACTCTGCGGCCTTTCAGTTCCTGGATTATTTTAAGTACAAAAAATAGTATTTTTTGTCATATTTGCGTTCATGACACTGCCCGTTCGCAACGCCAAAAACCAAAAACAACTGTGAAATAAAAATAAGATTTAGATATCAGATATCAGAGTTGCCCAAATTTAGAATTGCTTCCAAACTGCACGTATCATCACGCTGGATTTACTCCGTTTCGGGATCTACTTCAAAAACTGACGTTTTCATTTTGGCCTATCGCAGCTGTGCGGAACCTTGTCATGAGTAGTCAGAGCTGCTCAGTGTTGACAGCGTAGATATAAGCCATAATTAAGTTGAAAAATAGAAATAATAAACGATTTACAGTGGAACCTCCATCAAACAACGAACAGCCAAAGGGTAGCCTGTGTACAGAGGTTCCCCCTCCCTCAGGAGAAATCGGGAGAGGAGACGTCTGTGAATCGCCTTCGTTAATCGTGTTCCGGTATACGTTTGCATAAATTATATTTTTGTTCTTTCGCTGACAGTTGAAAAGGCACATGTAGGTCGAAAAATAGCTCTGGCGTCTGTGCACAAGCTAGCCGAACATCTTCACGCAATGTCCACCCAAAATCCAGATATGAGATCTCTGATTACAGTTAAGCCAGGTCAAGCGTTCCGGTCCGTGCACACTTCGGCCAATCTATTTTTTCATTTTTCCAACAAAAACGGAAAAAGGACATGTTACTTATCCTTGTCATATTTACATATTTTAAAGTACAGACAAAAATAGAAGAAAAGAAATTGGTCAGGAAAATTGATCATTTCTTCATTTTTCTAATTTTGAAGTCCGCTTCAAAAATACAAAAAATTTTAACAAGAAAAATGAAAAAAATGACAATTGTTGCGAAAATTACTGTAAACGGCTAAAAGCGACCTTTTGCTATTTTTTTTTTTTTTGTTTGCTATTTGTTAGAAAATGAGAAAAATGAAATAATGTCCGATTCATAACTCATTTTTTCTATTTTTCCGTTTTTCGCCAAAAATAGAAAAAACAAAAAAAAAAAAAGAAAAAAAAATCATGTTTACTTCGCACCATTTTTTCATTTTTTCCATTTTGTTCAAAAAAAAAAAAAAAAAAAAAATAGAAAAATATTTTTTATTTTCATACCTATCGCCCAATTTTCCATAATTCCATTTTAATAAGAAAAAATGAAAAAAAAAATCTATTTTTTTTTTCCATTTTTTTCCTTTTTTCCATTTTGTTCAAAAATGATAAATAGTAAAACTTTAAAACGACACACCCTTTTTTTTTCAGACAGTTTTTTTTTCATTTTTTATTTTATTAAAAAATGGCGCAGAAAAGTGAGAAGTTATGAATATTTTAACGGTGAAGAAAGAGATCCACTATCGACTCACTAATTTGGTTGGTTTGATTTATCCAGGGTTGGCGGAAATGTGGGGAATTTGGGGGGGGACTTAGTTTTCGAGATGCGGACGTAGTTCTATTCACTTTTGATCTCGATTTCCCTGAAGGTTTGAGTTGTCGGGGGTCGACTGTGGATGAAAGCGGCGGGAAAACCGTACCGTACCGGCCGTGGAAATGAAGAATATTAGAAAGGGTATGATGGGGGAGGAGAAGGCGTGAAAATTGGTACGGGAAAAGGGGAGGTAACACAACGGTTTTCATGCCAGCAACACTATGGTCCCAGCACAAAAAAAGCGGTTCGTGAGAGAGATTAAGGGGAAGGAGTTAAGAAGAAGGTCGTTGAACAGTCACATGCACAAAATAAATAAAGAACACGCCAGTGAAGAGGTCAGACGCTTTTAAATGAAATAGATGCTCAAACGTAGACTGCTTAGCCTGCCGAAATAACGGATCTTGCCGCAGAACGGGTGTTTTAGGATTGCAAGAGTAAAGAATATTGAATTAATATTATGGAGGAGAAACATAACGAGGCGGCTAGTATACACTCGCGGGAGAGAACATCTTAATCATCTGGCCCCATACATTTGCTCATACATTTGTTTAAACCTTGGATAGCGACTATCCACCGGATAAATCACTATCCAGCGGCCTGATAATTTTTTATGTATTTTAGGGAAACCAATTGCGTTATCTACTGGATAGTTATTTATCCAGCGGATAGTGGTATCCACCTTTTAAGCAACTCAGCCCTGGAAAGACGAGAGCAAAGATCGCTAATGTCGGGAAACGCATGCGACAAGTATGGGGAAACGTTCCACAGTTTGAATGGAACAGGAACACTTTATGGTGACGCAGTGTTAGAACAGGTCACAGAGTGAGTCCTAAGTAATGAGGTAAAGGAATCAGCTAATCAAATCCAAAAGTGAATGAAACTACGTTCGCATTCCGAGAAGTAAAGGGCCCCCACCCGCCCTCCCCATCCCACGTCTCCGCCGACCCTGTGTAAATCGTCTAACAAAACTAGTGAGTCTAAAGTGGATTAGGTTTTTCTTTTCTTTATTGGTAAATGTTCATGATTTGTCATTTTTCTTTGCTATTTTTCATTAAAACAAAAGATGAAAAATTGTCCGTTTTTGTTTGTTTGTTTGTTTTCTATTTATTGAAAAAATGGAAAGATTATTCGCGACACTTGTCATTTTTTTCATTTTTCTTGTTAAAATAGAATCATGGAAAATTAGGCGATAGGTATGCCATTTTTCTATTTTTTCATTTTTTGAACAAAATGGAAAAAATGAAAAAATGGCTTGAATAAATATCATTTTTCATTTTTCTGTTTTTCTATTTTTTGGGAAAAACGGAAAAATCGAAAAATGATCTAGGACTCGGAGATTCTTTTATTTTTCTCACTTTTCTAACAATATCAAGAAAATAAAAAATAGCAAAATATCGCTTTTAGCCGTTTACAGTATTTTTTGTATTTTTGAAGCGGACTTCAAAATTAGAAAAACGAAAAAATGATCAATTTTCCTGACCATTTTCTTTTTTTGTCTTTTTTTTCTGTACTTTGAAATATGAAAATATGATAAGGATAAGTAATATTTCCTTTTTCCGTTTTTGTTGGAAAAATGAAAAATTAGATTGGCCGAAGTGTGCACGGACGCTTTTAGCTGTTTACCGTATTTTTTGTATTTTTGAAGCGGACTTCAAAATTAGAAAAAATGAAAAAATGATCAATTTTCCTGACCATTTTCTTTTTTTCTATTTTTGTCTGTACTTTTTTGTTGGAAAAATGAAAAATTGGATTGGCCGAAGTGTGCACGGACCGGATTCATTTTTTCAAATAATCAATTCATTATAAATAGAATCTTTTTGGTGTAAGTTTGACCTGTCTTGGCTGTTAACGTTGGATTTTGTATGCCTTCTCTTTTATATACAATACCGCAACCGGTATTTACAATACCGCAAACATCGGTGGTCTTAACTTCTCATGCCTTTTCGAGAGAGCCGAAATACAAATACCGGTAAATAAATGTGAATGTCTTCAGAGCCTCAACTTTTCCCCGGGGAATCTATTCTGAGGTTCATTCACTAGTCACAACACCGGAAATTATTTTCGTCATGGCATTAACGTTACAACCAATGAGAGGCTGTCCCCAACATTCCGGGGAAACGGGAACACAATTATCGTCGGCGATTCACAGACGTCTCCTCTCCCGATTTTTCCTGAGGGAGAAGGAACGTCGGTACACAGGCTACCAAAGGGAGGTTTCGTTACTTATCGAGATTCCTTTTCATATATTTCACTATTGCTGGGGAGAGGAGTACCGTTCGTTATAGCGAGGACTTCGTTACATAGAGGTTCGTTATATCGATGTTCCACTGTAACTTCTTTCGTAAAGTTATGACTAATCAACAGGCAGCATTTTCGTCACAACCCCAGCTCTGCCTTTATATAAGCCCATAGAGATCTCTTACAAATATTTTAGTCATCTCAGATACTTAAATATCCATCAGACAGGCAGAATCTGTAGGTTACATCATGAGGAGGCACTAAACTTTATTCCGCAGACCGTAGTGCCTTGGAGCGATTATATAGGCAGTATTATTTGCAGTTAACACCAAGGTCATCAAACTTTGACATTACTTGCAATAATCTGTTGTCCTTACCTAGGACGGGCACACTCCATCGGTGAAGAACACATCATCTATTGCTGCATCTCCACGAAAGCTGCTTCCTCTTATGCCCACGAATTTGACCTAAAAAAACAAAACAAACAGAACAGAACAGAACAAATTTACAAAAAAATAAAAGCCGGAAAAACATGCTAGAACGTAACTATAGAAATTTCCACAATTATAACATATTAGATGGCTCTACAGTGCTATACACCAGGAATATTTAAGGGGGAAGACATTCCATAATTATGTGAAGAACTGCGGTTATTTCTACTTTTCCTTGATTTTCAGGTGTCGTCCACAAATCTAAAGCTCTCTATTGTACTCTGGATCATCTACTGAATTAATCAAGGGGAGGAGGTTTTGTGCAGGATGAAAGTAGTATAAAACGTTATTATTACTAGTCAAGACTAGTGTGTCAAAGAGTCTTGCATAGGCCCGATATGCTCAGTTCCAAGTAATTGGCCCCTAATGTACAAGGGTCGATTAATAGGAGCCTCCATATGTGCTATAACCTTGAGTCAACCTTTTCCCGTCAAAATTTGTTTTTAGATCTGCTGATTTCCAGCGAAAATATTGTTTCCGCAGACGTCCACACAAAAACACAAAAGAAAAAAAAGGCAGGCAAGTAAGAAACCTTTTTCTTGTTTCTTCTTTTGTCCTCTATACCTTTCCTTACAACCGAGGGTTGACTCCGAAGGCTTTTATGGGAGGTGAAGGCTCCTGCTAATCAGCTCCTGAATCAACTATTATATTAAGCACAGCCCGGGGTAGTCAATCGATAAAAATCGGTAGGAATCAAGTGATTTTTATCGATTGATAACGGAAATTGGTCAAAACCGATAAACTGAATTGATGTGTCAAATCGATATTATCGACTTTTCATGGTTTTAATGATTGATAACGTAAGTCCTCCATTGTTGTTTTTTGACATGATAGTACAGGTAAGATAACACATCAACGAATAACAACAGATCAGCGAACATAAAAGTCAGAAATGTGGAAACTATTACACACACAACTTTCTCTCTAAAACCCTTTATTTTGTACTTAATAACAAAAACGGTTCGATTAATTACATTCAGTTCTCGCAGGCAAGTATCACGAGAAATGCATCCTTAGATAAAAATTTCCTAGCCTAAATTTCAGCATAGTTATTACAGGAGACTGGTTATGAAAAGCGGCAAACATCAATGATAAAGACAACAGTGCTGCAGTTTATGTTGGAAGTACCGTGAAAGTGCACAATCCTTTGTTTTCTGTTGGCAAATTGTTAAGAGCTAACAAACATAGGCTGCACTTTAGGTCGGAATAAATTATTGCAACGTTTTTATTGGTCAATACTATCAAAATGATAGGAATTCTTTTGAACGTTGTGCACTTTCAGGTCCACAAAAACATATAAAAAAGGAGTCTGACGGGTTTGATAACCATTCCACTCAATTAACTATGATTTCAGACATTCCTTCGCCGTCGGGATTCAGGCTAAAAGATTTCCCTCGATAGATTTTCACCGTTTTCCTATACCAGTCGATAGAAATCACCTGATTGCTGATTGTTTTTATCGATTTCAATTTTTATCTATTGACAACTCCGGGTCTCCGGGATGTAACTGCACCCGGATCTACACCGACGTTATTTTGAAAGGGTGGTAGATCCAAATCCTGAAAAACTGGGCCCCTACAAACCTGGCCAATACTAGCCATCAGAAGAAGATTTTAAACCTGGTTTGATAAACAACAATTGTCAACTAATTTACTGTTTGCATGAATTCAGTTTTAATTTTTTGATGAACAGATGGACAGATGTTTCTCCCGATATGAATCGATGAAAGGGTAAAAATGAAGATAAATCGATAAACGAAAAGATTTTGTCATCGATTTCTACCGATTGATCGATACAATTGATATCAATCAAATCACTTAGTGATTTCTCTCGATTAATCGATTGACAAATCGATACCGGTTTTTATCAAGGGACTACTACGGGGTACAGTGAGCAGTCCACCGTTTCCCTTAAAGGCATCTTATATTACTGCTCAACAATAGTATTTTAAATTTCTTTTAAGACTCCCTACTACTACCTGAATACCAACCCCTTGTAGATATAGACGACTCTTTTTGTTAAGGAGATTTTACTGTAGCCCCCAAAAGATGAGTGCTTTATTATTTTTGTAAGCTATATTCAGTTAGTTTCCTTTCTCCCCTTTCGATGCTCAGAGTCTGCATACTGTATACTCACCCTGTATGGTGACGTTGAAGCTTTAACCTGAACTCTGGCCAAAATCCATTGGTTCCCTTGATCACTGCTTTTCTCAAAAAGGACCGTGTCATCATCGCCCACAAGGAATGACTGAATCACTTTAAGTGTACCCATGTCCTCTCCATACATATGGTAATAAAACTGAAGGCAACGCCCATGTGTTGTTCTGGGGTATAGCTTGCTTTGTAGTATGGCAGTGTCACCCTTAATACGTGGACGCGAAGTTTCGATGTACATAAAATAACCTAGCAAGAGTCACATGTCACAATATTGTCACGTGTTTCGACATGTCACTTGGAAGGATTTAAAAAACGCGTTTTTATTACTTCATACTCTGTGAACGGTTTGAACCCAGGAGTCATTTCATAAGTAAGTTGAGCATGATGGTCCGGGTGATAACGTAGTTCTGAATAGGACTGTTGCTGTTGACAGTGACTGACATTTCGACAACCTGTGCGGTAGTCATCTTAAGAACTAAGTTAATACCATGTAGTATACAAAGTAGGCCATAAACGTTCGTATTTCTAATGGATGCAGTCCCGAAATGGCGTAATACAAAAGATCGAAAAGACGCCAACAAAAAGTTAGTTTTCGCAGCATTAAAACACCCCAAATTTGCCATATGCATAACATGCAGTGCTACCTGTTAGCGCGAGATCAAGTAATGTGAACGTGGAAGTCGCTCCGAGGTGGAGTTCGTTTTCAATATCAAGTTCAATGAATCTGGTTAACCCCTGTGTATAGAAAACAGCATTTTGTTTTCAATTTATCTGGATGGATCCAAGAAAGTGTAAAAAGTACCACTGTCCGCCCCAGTTGTACTGATACTCACCGAAGCGCCGGGTTGTGTGGTCTGTATCTGGCCCAGTTCTACTGCTCGGTGTGTTACCCATTCTTTGCGTCCAATCGAAATCGTCGCCATCGACATTAGTAAATCCACATAAGTCAGCGGTCTCAAAGGTGCAGTCATCAGGACCTGAATCGAGTGTTAGGATGGAATAGACGTTAATTGACTCGGTCCAGTATTATAGGGAGGGCTATGCTCTGACATTTCCCAAAGGCCCATGGAACCTTACTTTTTCTGTTAAGCAACCAGGAAATCTCAGCTTGTTGTTGATGTTGTTGTTGTTTTTAATCATACGTTGTAACCCTAGAGTTCATAGGCTCAGAGCTGTGGGATCCCTTCAATTTTTTCTTAGAGCACGGCACAGTAATAATATTTGCGTGTTTTATAGCCAGAAGGCATAGGCAATAATTCTTAAGCCAGTTTTCTCTGAGTCATCACCGATTTTCCTAGTCCGCCTTTGCAGGTTAGTGTAGTAAAATTGGGAACCCCATTTAGTTCTTTTAACTAATTGCTATGCAACATCTGAAAAGTTGGAACATTCATCGTAATAGCGTCAGCTACAAACTAGAATTCAGTCATTGCGATCGACTTAGAAAAACACACTCTTTATACAGATGTGTTAAGTTTGTGCTGCAACCATCGTTGAATGATCGGATCTAAGGACACGGGGCAAATTCGAACGAAAATTCTCCGGTACCAGCTTGATGAGAGTGAGCATGGATCGAGATCGGTCATGCACACTCCGTAATCATTTATAATTAATAGCCCACGTTCTATATATTAAAATTCTAACATGACTCCGAGGCTTTCTGGTAATATTTACATATTTAGTGTAGTTAACGTTTTCTCTGTGCTTTTAAGCCTCTTCTGGAAATTGCGAGACAACAGAGTCGGGAAAAATTTGCAATTTTGAACTTAAAATCTCCGAGTTGTGTTAGAATTTCAAAAAATCGATCGTGGGCTATTATAGTTTTAGGAATTTTGAAATTTAAGAAAGGCTTTACCGCTTACCGATAGAGCCTTTTCACATGACGTCAAGGTGGCCATATTGGTGTTCCAGAACAATGAAACCGAGGCCATGTTTGTGTTCCAAACCAATACTATGTGAGTTTAATAGGCCATTTCCGAGTTCAAAAACCTGACTCTCTTTCAAAACGATGCCAAGTGCACAACTTTTATTGTGAAAATGACTTTTATTTGCATAATAACAAAATCGTTTCCAAAACAGTGGCTTCTCGCTTAGCCTCGCTTTAAAACAGAGGCTTGAAGCAACTCGGAAATGACCTATTCTTTCCTTATGTAAAGGCTTTCTATTGTTCCAATAAATTTGCATAGATGCTCTCAAGTGAGTGAAAACGCCTTCTATAAGTACTTTACTGAAGTACCCAGTTGTATAAGTTCTTTAGATATGAATAATCAACATAGCGTGTACGCGTGATTTCTTATGTGTCCCCTTCTGCCAAATCAGGGTAAAACAGCTAAATGATATGAAGTACGTACAACACATTCGTACCATCAGGGTGTGGCTGAGGGGGAGAGGTCGGATCAGGTTGTCTGGTAGTGCTCCCTGTAAACAAGTTATAAGAAAAGGAATGATACATTATTATGAAAAACGCTGTATATTAACCCTTGGACGTACAAGGGGGGATAAAACATCAGCACCTGACGTTTTCGGTAGCTTTTCCTTTGTCCCTCGCGCGCATTTTGAGTCAGGTTCAGTGATGGTCAGTTTCTACGGTTACGAGATGTGACGTCATAAGTAGCAGGTGGTCAAGCCAAAGCCAGAGCGCTTATTTATGTGTTATTTTTCATATCAAGCACAAAAAAAAATCACCATTTCTGCCGGGTTTTAACCAATTCCTAATTCTTGGTAAAATCGAAAATGGTGACTATTTTCGGTGACGTCACAGGCCTCCAGCAGCGCCACCACCCATAAAATATATCTCATCTTGTTGAAGGTAAAATCGTATATCTTTTTCTAAAATCGTTTCGGAATACTGCAACATATCAAAACCTCTGGGGGGGGCATCCATCCACCCGAGGGTTAAGGATATTAATTTTCTTCAAGCTAAAAACATGCCAAACGAGATAGCTGATTGGCAGCAACTCAGTTACTTCTAACTTTTAATCTAACAAGAATCGTGGCCCACGTAAGGTAAAACAGATTTCCGTGATATCGGATATTCTTGCTTTTGAATCCGGAACGAATTTTCTGGAATCAGAATTTAAAAGATTAAATTCGACTTCCGTACGTACATGTAGGGTGAGGAATCCTACGGCCAAATTCCTGTAGCCATACTGATTCAGTGCAGTCGAGGCTCCATAAAGGCCGCCTCACTACAACGGCCACTTCTTTCGTCCCGGCGAACGAAAAAATCCTTACATTAACTCTTGTTTAAAACCTCTTTACAACGGCCACTTTCCCCTGTCCCTAAGGTGGCCGTTGAGAGAGGTTGAGCTGTAATTCTTATCTATTATTAACATCGTCGTTGATCATCATTGTCACCTCTAAATCTTCACAGGTAGAAATAATTAAGGAGACGCCATTAAAAGTAAACCCTTTTTTTTTCAGTATTTCACAAGTTTTGCTGTTTGATATGTTGGGAGTTAACATGTGTTTTCTGTACTTTCATGTCTTAGCAGATAACTATATAGAGTTTTTATACTTGAAAACGAGAATATAAACAAGATAGTAATGCAGTCAGGCACCTTAATTGTGGAAATAAATAAAGGCTTAAAAGTTTTGAGTTTAAAAGGTCATTTGCACGATGTCGTCTTTTTACTACTAAGACAAGAATTCACTTCGTTTTTTCTTTCGTATTTAACTGATTTGGTCATCCCAGTGAGGTTTAAATAACAAAAGCCGTAATTTGCACAAGAAAGCAAAACACTCAATGATTCTGTCCCTAGTAGTAAAAGGTTAGCGTTAGATAACATCGAGTGAAACCAGATTGGACACCTTATGAATTTTACACGACGCATTATTTCCATAATGGAACGAGACTGGAATGTAGAATGAGGCTAGCATAGCTGAAGAAACCAAAACTACAGAGCGTCAGTTATGGAGAGAACACAGTAGACAGTTAAGGACTGATCTGCAGTGATTAGGGTTAAGCACTGAACTGAAAACGGTTAGCTTTCAAATATTGTAATGGGGTACGACATGAGAACATGTATATTTTAAAAATTATTAGATTTGGCAGCTAGTCCTCGATGGTGTAGTGGATAGGGATGTAGGCTATAAAGCAAGTGACCCGGGTTCAAAGCATTACAGTGGATTTTTTTCTATTTCATTTTATATTACACAGTAAAGTTGGACTTAAGTTGTTCTTCATGTAACTTTATTGAAAGAAACAATCTGACTTCAGCCGATGTTACCTAATGCTCCCTAGTAAAATGACGCCATCGTGCAAATGGGCCATTCCAAACTCTAAACCATTCTCTATAAATCAGCATAAATACAAAAATACATCATTAAGAAAGGACTTCATGTAAGTCACGGGTATAAACATAACTTTAAAGTTTGTATTTGCGTGGCTTTCTTAATTGTTTCTCACCGTTACAGCGATACAACAAGTCCGCTTGCGTAACGTCCTTGGGGCTGAGTCCTATCCGCTGACCAAGCTGAATGACAGAAGAGTTCTTGGCTTTTATTGTTGTGGAACCACTGATACCAAACGCCGTTGGAGAGTAGTGCATGACGGAAATGTAGTCATACGGGACCCCCAATGAATCAATTTGTGACACGTTGTACTTCCGAAAGTTATGTGCTTTTCCTATTAAAAATAAAAAATTTAATGATTCGATCAATTAATAACTTAAGTTATTCTTATTGTAGTTGGATAATGCCATAAATTTTAAGGTTATTCCCAGTTCACATCTCGCAAATAACAAATAACAATAGCTTGCGGAACAAGAGCCTCAGACAGTAGAAACATCTGTTACCAAAATAGATCAAAAGTGTGAGAGAGAAAAATTTATAATAATGATGTTAATTATGATGATGACGACGATCATGAGGAGGATAATAATAAAGACAATGACAATGACGATGACGATGATGATAACGATAACGATGACGATAACGATGACGTTGACGAGGACGATGACGATAACGATGACAATGACGATGAAGACGATGATAACGATGACGATGACGATGACAATGACGATGATGATAATAATGATGGTGGTGGTGGTGGTGATGATGAAACAAGATAAACTTTTAATATTTTCCTTTTAACATTGAATCATGATCAGATTCTTTAACTGACCTTCTTCTATATTTTCCCATATTATTTCCACATGCTCATCTCTATCAGGTCTACTCTGTTCATGCCAAAATCCCATAGCATGACCTGCAAAATATTATAACAACAAATAAATGATGAAATGATAGATACGATAGTATTCATGAAAAATGACTTTAAAAAATGCGTCTTAGTCGACTGCCTCCATCATTTAACGAAAGGGTGCAGATTGTGTATAAATGAATAACATGTTTTTGTTCTCAAGAATAAGAGTTCGGTTTAATTTGTGTTATCTTACGGAAATAAGAATAGGTTACTTTAGACTATTTACTTGCTTCACGATAGAACTTGAGCCATATCTGTGTTTTCTTTAAAACCTACTGAATATGATCCCAAGACCGGATTTACTGAAGAGAGGGTAACCCGGCCGTGACCACCTTAATTGTAGGCAAAACTAAAGGCTGCAGGATACATAAAAGTTATTTTGGAGAGAACCTTCCCCCATTTTCATCGCGCCAGGATGAGCAGGACCCCACCTACTTGAAGATCCCAGGGAAGGGAAGGGTTAGTCCTAAACGGGGAGTCGGGTCCCTTCTTTAGGCTTATGTATACATGGTATATTATAGGGTAAAGGTGTCTCTATTTGAAGTATAAGAAAGGGTAAGGCAATCAATCATTGCGGTCTGTGAAATGACGTAAAAGGCGCATTTGTGGCTGTAAAAAAAAAAAGATAACAAAACTTTCTGGTTAAGTGATTTGTTCACATTTTAAAGACGGTGCATTTACAGCGGTCAAAAGAGAAGTAGCGTTTTAAATCTTAAACTACAAGTAATATGTGAAAGGTCTACAGAAGGAGTACGTTTTCTGTAAAAAAGACATATTAATAAATGCGTTACTTAGTAAGTGATTGGACCTCGGATCGGAGCCTCCCCGAACAAAATTTCGAAGAGAACGCCCACCACCTCCCCCTTCAGCCTGGAGATCTGAATCCACCGCTGGATGCATCATGATTTGCCTCGTTCCTAGGTGACTCTAGTTTTTCGAAAACGGTAAACGCGATTGCGAGCGATTAAGGAGTACCGCGGAATCGACCATGGGAACGTTTAGGCTTAACGCAAAGAACGCTGGGAAGGTTGCCCCGCGAGTAGCAACCAAAATCGTGCCAGTCGCTAAAACGCGCATGGGTAAGAGGCAGCATCATGATATTATTAAAAAAAAAAACTTCACGAATTTTGATAGGCTCCACATTAAAATCAATCTCGTACCCAGTGTCATCTTGCTGTCTACGTGCCAGGTTGCATTAATTAAAAAAAACTTTAAAACAAGAAAATTAAAATTCATTTAGCACCAAGAAAGTCACAAAAAGAAAACAATTGTCGCTTGGCAGTGTTTAAGTGGGAAGTGCTATATTCCTTTACCAATCTCGTGGACGACTGTTCCTTGAGACCAGCAACCGCTGGCCAGTGAAATTTGCTGCATTCCACCTTGCCGTCCTACCCATGACCAGCACCTGGCAGTGATAAACAACATTACTGGAAGGACAGCGCTAAGTCGAAGATTAAGATTGTTTACAAAATGAAGTACATATTCAATAGCATAAGTATAGTATTCAATATTATAAATAACCGTCATGACAACTCAGGAGTCATTTTAACACTGCTCATGATAAATTTCCGTCCTTGTCTGAGATCGTGATCAAGATAACGATAACAACATTGCTAACAGTAACGTTAGCGATAACGATGATGATCACGAAACGATCGCGATAGTATAAATTTTATAAAGATAGAGTCAGATGGTTTATATTTATTTATTTATTTTTTTTGTTTTGTTCTGTATATTTACTTTTGTACCAAGTTATGATATTTATGTTTACCAATGTATTTGTTGTGCCTCTTTTCTGGCTTTCTCAGTTTTAATTATCATAATTACAGCCACCCAACTTGTTTAGCTTTTTAGTTACTTTGGGTGTTCCACTACAGTATGTACTGTTTATTTATTTATTTGTTTACTTATAATTATATTCTTGTAAATTCTTTTAGTTGTCTACAGTTACGACACGAAAGAGGCTTAAAAATTGATGTTTTGTCAGGAGCAATGTAGAAGGGAAACTTCAAAATAAAGGAAGATAATTCATTTACCCATTGCCTTTGAAAAACGCGATGTAGTTTTCTTCGGTTGTTCTTCTTACAAACTTTAAACACGAGCTCTGCTCCCACTCCTTCATGGCACTCAAAATAACACTTTTAGCCGCGGGGGTCTCATCTAAAATATACATGCAAAGAGTTGGAAGTGGCAAAGCGTCTAGCCTCTCAGACTTTCTGAGGGTTTCATCACGCCTTCCTCTGAGGAATGCGTCACGACCCAAAAGAACGTGTGAGTGGGAGGCTGTAAAGAGTGAAGTCTCAAGAATCGATTAGACGTTATTTATCGGTGGCCAGAAAACGACGACTTAAGACCTAAAACCCAACAACGAAGACACCCCTCAGAATCACTTATAAATAGCCAGGAATGGGTATCTCGATCTGAGATGTGTAACAAACAACAAGATCTTCAGTTATCAATGAAATTGTCTAGGGTCTTCGTTTTCTAGAAATTCCCCCAAATGTAGAAAACGAAGACCCATCAAAATCACTTGAAAACGGCTTGAAACGGCTCCTACACAATAGAGGAGTGTACGAAAGAACATGATTTTCAATTCACAAAAATTTAACCAGGATTATGGGCTCCTACTTTCTTAACATAGTATCCTAATGGCAAAATAGTAAATAATAGTAATAGTGTTTCCTTAATGCATAGCATTGAATTAGGGTTTTTCGTGCGCATGTGTCAAAACAAGCTGCAAACACCCCCCAAAGCTTTTTTTTTTCTGTCTCGTTGTTCATCTCACCTAATTCACTTGAGATATTGTAAGGGACGACACGTGTGTTCCACAGAAGTTTCTGATATTTGGTTATTCCTCGGGCCCCCAAAACTGGAGCTGTAGGATCTCCAAACATCTCAAGTGCGATCTGTTGCTTATATGACAGTCTGATATC